TAGTATTAATGTTTAGTGAAAATATCACATTGAAATACTGTCTTTAATGGTCATGAAAAATTCTACTTTGTATGTAGAATTTGCACGTGATATAGAGATTTATGTGTGACAGATATTATGGAATGTTAGAAATAAGCAAGTCTGCTCTGTAAAGAGGATTTATTTTCATTTCAGGCCGTCATAGCTGAATGATGCAAAGCTATTATGGGGTGGCCCTTTTCTAAGCTTTTAACGAAGCTAGGTTTTTAGAGCTGTTGATGGTGGCTGTTGAAGAGAAATGAGTAAAAGATTCTACCATTTCAGAGATTACGTGGACACTAAGTTTTTGACCCAGTCAGGATGTTTTCAGAACTACGTAACTTAGGAAGGAAGGTTTGAGCAAGCTACCTCCTTGTAGTGCAAACAAATGATTAACCTGCATAAATGGAGATCACTTTAAAAAAAGGGAAAGAAAATATCATGATCTCTGCAGTCAGCATTAGGAGCAAGTCAATATCAAGGACTAAAAATTGGATTCTGAGATTTAGGTGTAAATCCACAGTGAGATCGTACTTGGACTACCTTAATTTGTAAAAGTGATGCGTAATTTCACTAGTTTTTCAAGATTTTCCTTCATCTTTAGAGAAGAGTTTCCTTTGTTCAGTGACAGAATGATCCCATGTCACGTTCTAGTACAATCTCTGCTTATTAGACTTCCCTTTGCCTGTGTCCCACAAGGGACCTGATGGAGCAGGCCTGAGCAGCTCCCCCTTAGGTCTGCAAGAAGGCTGCTTCTGTTCAGACGTGGCTGCTGGTGGTACTGCTGCTTCTCTTTTTGCCTAGGCTAAGGGGGTAAGTGTGTTCAAGTTTTCAACCTTGAAAAGGAGTGAAACTTGTGTACATCACTTTTTGTACATGTCCTGACTCCAGGCAGTGTGGAGCTCTGAAGGGGATTGATCCCTGCCTTGTGTTGAACCTGTTTCCCTTTGAAGAGAAGAAAGTGTTCGTAGGCTGAGCTCCATGCTCACCATGTTACGTAGGAACTGGGGCATGTAGCTGCTGAAGAGGCACCAAAATGTTTTGTTCCTTGCTGAAAGAACTATCCCTAGGTTGGAGTGAATAATTGATTAATAAATATGAACAAAAGGTCTTTAAAAATGAAGCAAAATCCAAGACGTCTGCTTGGGTAGCTGAAGATGAGGGCTGCGGTTGTCTTTGAATATTCAGTCCTTTCATGGATTAGCTTCAAGGGGAGGGACTGAACTTGCCCCATCTCTAAACATGTGTTTGCATTCTTCTCTGTAAGATGAAAACATGGGTGAAAAGTATTTAAAAGTAATTGAATTTGTGTATCTTAGTGTGGGTGAGAAATGAAACGGAATGGAGATGGAAGGTGACACCAGCATCACTAACTAAAGAAAACCTGTTCTCTATTTTGGTGTAAGGTTGTTGAACTCCTGAGGTCGGTAACGTCTGGTGTGGAGATCTCCTTCTAGTGTTAGGCCTGGATAAAAGGAAACTAAGATAAAGCATTGTCATGAGTTGCTAATTAGCCAGTGCAGGCAGTGTTCAGTCCAACACTGGCTCAATCTCCTGCTGTGAGGTTCTGAAACCTGTCCTTGCCTTGCTTAATGAATTGGTACCAAATTCAGGAGGCCCAGAGCCAGACATCTAACACTGCTCTTCACAGATCAAGCCCTTTGTGTTTAAAGGTTTGTTGGAATTCCTGCAGATATGTGTCGTGTCTCTACCTTCCAAATAGCCCCTTATTATATCTGAACAAAATGTGATATTTGTTGGCTGGTGCTGTGTGCTGATAGATCAGAGAAGCAGACAGATAGTAACTGCTGAGCCTGGTGCTGTGGCCTTTCCCGAGAAGTGTGAATTGGAAGTTTTTCCAGATACCAATTTTCATGGAATGTATGCAGATTTCAGACATCATGCAACTCAAATCACATCTGCTCAAAAGTGGTCCAGGGGTCCTGAGGTTCATGTGCGAGAGGAGCAGACTAATAGAACAGCATGGTCACCTAAGCTTGGTTTCTTAAGGAAATCAGGATTAAACAATATCATCCAAAAGTTGTTGAGTAACTACAGTGATTTTAATTAGTTGTAGAGAATGACATGGGATTAGGTACCTAAAGGTTAATGTAGAATAAGAACGTCTCAATCTTACAGCTTCCATCTGTTGTAAATGGTAAGGCTGTTTGGGGACTTCACCTTTCCTTCTTTCTGCCCCACCTCCCAGATTCATCAAGTATTCTTCTGGTCTCAAATCATGAGAAAATCAGTCATTTACCACTGTTACCCCACTCCATTGCAACCAGCCCTGCAGTGGGCATACAGTGTTGCTGTATTAGAAACAGAAATTTACTCCACTGCAATAGTTTTTATCTCTGAACTTGGGCTCGTGCGATTTTTCGGTTTGTCATCTGAAGTATTGCTTCTAAATGCAATAGTGTAAAATTTATTGTAACTATACTATCTAAAGAGCTTTTAAGTAAAACTCACCATTACCTTGTATGTTTGGCCAGTTTCTATATCAGCCATTTTCTTGGGTTTGGGGTTGTTTGTTTTTTTTGTTGTTTTTTTTTTTTGCAGAGTGCTATTACAAACCCAAAATGATTTCTACTTCACCCTCTTTATTACATTCTCTCCTCCCTGTGTTTGCTCAGTTCAGAGCACTGGCTCAATTTGTACTTCAAGAGGACATCCCTGTAATACACTGCTTCTGACGAGGAGCAAGAGCCTATTAAACATTGGGCTTATGCTTTTTGGAGGAGTTGACATGATAATGAGGAGATGGGAGATTGTTTCTTAACACGCTGGAGTGTTGGCAGGATTGCTGGCAGGCTTAATAGAGTATGGAGCCTCCTTTTGCATATGGCTACTGGAAGTTTTAGGAGTGGAGAGCTCTCCTCAGCTGTTTGCTGATTTAATTGGATTTCTTCCTGTCAAGAAATCTGAAGGACAACACATGCTTAGTGGAATCTGTCATTTATGGGGATGAACTGTCCACAGATAGATCTTTAAATTCAGTGGTGCACACTGGAAGAATGTGTTGTGTTAGTTCCTATGCTGGTCAGGAAAACAAACAACTCTATTTTAAAAGCTTGTCAGTCGAAAGGTGGCTGTTTCTTGTGAGTATCTCTGGAAACTGAATGTGGGGACTGTCCGAGAGCAGAGATTGCTGCATTGGAGATAATTACTGAGCAGTGTGGAAATAAAGACTGGTTTTTAGCTTGTTAGTGACGTACCAGCAACTGAGCTGGTGTGGACTGGCCTTTCCTTCAACTTTTCACTGTGTGAGTCATGGCAGTAGCCCACTTCCTGAGTTGTGCAGTTTGTGCTGCTTACCTGTGTGGCGCAGCCAGGTGGAAAGACACTGGTCTAGTTCCTGGGTCAGCAGTAGTATTGGTGTTCTTAGCTTGATGCTGGCACAAAGCTGTAAGGGAAGTGTTTGCTGCAAGTTCACGCTGCAGTTCTGTGCCTCTCTTGTCCTGCTGTTCTGGTAGGGAAGCCGGAGTGGATGGGCTAAAGGAAATGGTGGGATTCTTCGTAGAGGAATTAAAATCTTTCTAGGCATGTTGACTCATTGTTTGCTTTTGCTATTATTTGTTTTGCTTTTGAATTTCCTTCCTTCCAAGACACATGTAGTAATAGAGTAAAGGGGGCTGCAGTTTTTTCCTGCCTGCAAGAGCTTTGATTGTGCTTTCCTAGAAGTTGGGTGAAAATCAGTTTTGTGTAATGCATGTGAATAGTCTGGCTTATGTTGAAAGTGTTACTTCAGCAGTTTGGTTTGGAAGGGATTGGTTCCACTTCCAGTTTGTTGTGTTTTACACTTACTATGGGAATTCATTTTGGGGGGAAAATCACTGCATAATATTGAAAAGCTCGCTGAGATAAGGACATCTTGTACAAGTATCCTGTTACTTAAAGGGCACTGAATGTTCATAGTACTAAATAGCGTTTCTAAACAGATGGTTATAATTAACATAAAATACATCCACAGATAGAGTCTGTTTGGTGTTCTCGTAATGATTTCAGTGGTCCGATACTTTAGCATTCATTAAACTGTAGCACAACCAACAATGGAATTGCAGCAGAGTTACTGGATTCAGACTGGAGGGGAGAGCTCATCGTCCTCAAAGCAATTACTTTTTTTCCATCATTGGAGGAAAAAAACCTAGGATGTTAAACATGTAATTATAGCATTTGTGTGTTTGCATTTCTAACAAGCTGCTAGGAGAAGCTTGTTCGTAGCCTTGAAGTGAACTAACTGGTCTCCAGGTTGCATAGAAAGTCAACATCATTGCACATTGCAGCAAAGGGTGGGGCTGCTCAGCTCTTAGATGGAGCTGTGGATTTCAGTCTGCATGATGTGAACGGTTTCGATGAACTACTTAGGCCTGTTATCTCTACCAAGAACTTAAGTTATATAAGGTGGGATGGCCTTCAGAACGATTTCTATAAATCCATGGTTTTTTTGGAACACATTTATGTAAACAGTTTTCAAGGCACTACTGCACAGCATGAGATGTTTCAAGACTTAATAGCAAGCCAGGTGAAATTATGGCTTGCCTTACTGTAAGCTTTGTCCCAAATACCTGGAATTTCAACACATCGGAGATTTTCTCGCTGTGAGTTCGTGGAAGTGAAGTTGGATTCCTGTGTAAGGTAGAGATGTGAAAAGCAAAATTGAATTCAGCAATCTCTGCCCTTGAGCGCTTCAATGGGTTCTTGGGAGAAGAGGGGAAGTAACACAAGAGAATCATAAAACTAAAACCTAACCTCTTATTCTTTTAGTGTTTTCTTATGGTTCTTAGCTTTTGCGAATTGATTTGTCTTTTATGGAAAGAAAGGCAAAGCTGTGTTTAGTTGGGTGTCTGATGAAGTCAGAATAAGCTCTGCAGAAGGGAGGCATTGCTCTGTTTCAAATGGAAATAACTTTTAACTGCCCCTCCCAAAAGCATACACAAATTCTGTGTTTTCTCTGTGTAGAGAATGGGCCTGGCTGTAGAATGGCCTGGCCCATTCTGCAACCAGGGAGTGCTGTCAGGATTTTGAAAACTCAAAGTCAGTTGAGATAGTGTGAGATGGTTACTGTGATTCATGCTTTTACGTGTTCTTTGCCAATAAATGTCTTCCTCCTCCTACACTAAAGGTGTATTTAATCCTGTGAGAAGAACTTTAATGCCATTTGTTGTGAATAGGTTCAACCTGTAGTCTGCATCTGTTCAGTTCATGAGCTCATTTTGGTACAATTATTAAGCTAACGTGAGGTTGGGGTTTTTGATTACTTCAATATAAGGTTTTGGGTTTCTTCTGTAAAATACTGCAATGGTGGTTTGTTTATTTCTTAATGAAAAAAATCATTCTAAATTACCAGAAAGCATGTTTTAAATACTCTGTTATTCACTTACAGCTGCCAAAACATAGTACAGAGAAATAATGGTCTGCTAGCCTGCTAAACAAGAGTCCAGCTTCCACAATGCCTGTGCAGGCAGCTCAGTGGACAGAATTTCTGTCCTGCCCAATCTGCTACAACGAGTTTGATGAGAATGTGCACAAACCCATCAGCTTAGGTTGCTCTCACACTGTCTGTAAGACCTGCCTGAACAAGCTCCATCGCAAGGCATGTCCTTTCGACCAGACTGCCATCAACACGGACATCGATGTTCTTCCTGTAAACTTTGCACTCCTCCAGCTAGTTGGAGCCCAGGTATGATTTAAGCAGCTCTTTGGTTTGCCACTTTGTGTTATTACCATTTACGTGCCAGTTGCAATACAGGTGCTGATCTTTTTCCCCCGTTTTAGACACAAACTTTGTTATATTTAGAAGTCCTCTAAGAGGACCAAACCATTTTCAGAACCATCCTCATAAAACGTAACCATTGTAAAGTGAATTTTGGTTTAAAAAGGCTCTTGAACCATGACTGGAGAAAAAAAATCCATTATGAAATAGTTCTGTCACAGCTGTCATTAGAAAAGTGAACCTACAGATTGCACTCATTCATCGTATGCTCGCAAGGAGTCTGGTTTCTGCATGTCACATGTTCAAAAGGAGCTTGCTCTTTAACCACTTTCAGAAGTGTGTTTTGTTTTATTTGGGGTTTTGAAGTAGGCACGATGATGGGTTTCCAGTTGTGTTTTCAGACACTAGCTAATCAGGCCAGGAACGTTCCCTGCGCTGTCTCGTAGCAGTGGCAAAACAGCGATTATATAATCAGTACTGTGCCTTTCAGAGACTAAATAAGTCTGCTCACCTTCTGCTGGTTCATATGCTTTGAGATATTATTCTTCCTGTAACATCTGGGCATTTTAAGTAACATAAGAAACAGTAAGAAGATACTTTTTACACTGCTTTTCAATGTCTTATCGCATGCCTCGACAGGGCTATTGGTAATAACACTGTATCAAAGTGGTTTTCTTTCTTAAGTTCATGTGTTCCTTTCATTTTTTTCATTTCTAACTTTGTGTCAGATCACAGCCTTGATCTTACAACAGTTATTTTCCCTGTCTTCTAACTTCTTGCACTGCCTTTCAAACAGTTTAATGTTTTGGGACTTATACTCCCTCTGTTCTCACTGTCTGACCTTGTTACTCTGGGTTTTTTCCAGCAAGTGAAGTTTGCTGGTTCTCCTTGAAGATTTCATCATGCCCAAATTATGCTGAAATGATTTTTTTAGCTTTGCTTTTGATTTTTTTTCATATTATTTTCCTGCCAGTTTGTTTTATAACTTCTCTTTGTCTCTGTGGTAAATCATGCTGATCTTGTACCCTGATCATCCTCTCAAATCTTTTGTTCTTCATTCATCTTTTAAGTACCTTCTCATTAGACCTCCATTATTGTTTTCTATCCTACTTATGTTCTTAACATGTTGAGTACTAACAAAAACAATCTTTCATCATCCCAACCCTCATCTTACTCCCTTTTTGTTATTCTTTACTACATTCTACCTACCTTTGGTGAGTCCCATCTCCCAATTCTCTGAAAAGCAGTGTAAATCTGCGGTGTTACATATTAATAGTAGCAATGTTGGTGCTGTCAAAGGCATATCAGGTAGCCTGGTATGTAGAATTATTCTCTCTCCTCCCCTTTGCATTTTCTTAGGTACCCGATCATCAGACAGTAAAGTTGAGTAATGTGGGAGAAAACAAACATTATGAAGTAGCAAAGAAATGTGTTGAGGATTTGGCACTCTACTTAAAGCCATTAAGTGGAGGGAAAGGTGAGTCTCTGCTGAAGAGTGGAATTTTGGTGAAGCTTTCTTTGAACAGCACTGTGTTTTCAGCACTGATTTTATACATCAAATGAATAATCCTCTCATTTTTGTGATAAAGTTTCCCATATGGCTTTAAAAGCTTGTTCACACTTGTGACACTTGGGTTTTTTAGAATTTAAGTTCACGAGATATTCTTTTTTTATTTAATATTACTACTTTGAGGCTAACTTTGTACTAAAGCTGCACTTTCCTTAAAGGTTGGGCTTGATGTCCATGTAAGACTTTAAAATCCTTTTTGATAACGCAGTTGCTGAAGAGAAGGCAAGATGCCTGTGACTAGTGTCCAGGTCCTAAAGAAAGACACGTATTACTACACCTTTTTGTCTTACACACATAAATTCGTATGGATAAAAGCAATAGTTTGCCTTTTCTCTCTTCCTTTGAAGGTGTTGCAAGCTTGAATCAGAGTGCACTGAGCCGTCCAATGCAAAGGAAGCTTGTGACGCTGGTGAACTGTCAGCTGGTGGAGGAAGAGGGTCGGGTCAGAGCTATGAGAGCAGCTCGATCACTGGGAGAGAGAACTGTCACAGAACTGATCTTGCAGCACCAAAATCCTCAGCAGCTTTCTGCCAATCTTTGGGCTGCTGTCAGGGCACGAGGATGCCAGTTTCTAGGACCAGGTAAGGTACCTGTACAGGCTGCAGCAGAGTACATTTAGCTATACCTTGTTATAACAAGGTTGCAGCATACTTCAGTCTTAAAGTTTATAATGATCATGTTAATAACTTTGATAGAAACAGCAAATTCTGTGAGTGCTGCTGAAGCAGGCACAGAAATGAGAAGGAAATAATGTTTAAACTGAAATTAGTCCTCTTTTATTCCAGTAACTGATGTTAGCATTCCTGCACACTGTCCCTGCATTTATTTTATAGTTCCATGGTGTAGCATTGATAAGACGCTACAGAATTACAAAGGCTGCATGATTGCATGGTGGAATAAAATACAGAACCTGCACTACTGATGTGTTTATTACTGAAAATTAGTCATAGCTTTTTGTTTGCTGTGCTTTGAGTGCTTCTAAATACTACTTCTAAATCAGCAAACTTCTTAAAATGCTTACAAAGGTTTTTTTCTTATGATTAGGGAAATAAAAAATAATAAGGAATTACATTCGAGATGATTCAGATGCCTAGTTATCATGTTAATATATGATAGCCTTGCTGATTTCTGGCAATGTGTTTCATCTTTTGTTCTTGTGTGTTAAAGCTATGCAAGAGGAGGCACTGAAACTTGTATTACTGGCACTGGAAGATGGCTCTGCACTCTCAAGAAAAGTTTTGGTACTTTTTGTTGTGCAAAGGCTAGAACCAAGATTTCCTCAGGCCTCTAAAACAAGTATTGGTCATGTTGTGCAGCTACTGTATAGAGCATCTTGCTTTAAGGTAAAATACCAATGTTTGAAGTTTGTTTGTGCCTTAGTGCAGCTCCAGAGAACCTGACCTAGGATTAATATCTTTCACCTGTGAAATGTTACATAAATTCATTTTCTACACATTTAAATAGTACAGACTGTAATCAGTTTCTATACATTTAAATAGTACAGACTGTAAGATGTTTATCTAGAGCTGTCATGAAATAGTTGTTTGATATTTAAAACTCCCTGCAAAAGGAACAAATGTAGTACTGGGAACTTCCCTAGCCCCAACACCAGGCATGAGAGAGGGACATCAGAGAGAGATTGCTCTCAGCCTGAGCTCCAGCCTTGTGTTCCCACATATTTGTCACTCTTTAGCCTTTCTTTTGTCTGTATCTGGCCACCTTGCACTGAAGAGGTTCTTTATTTTTGATACATAAGGGTGGCTTGTTTAAACTGAATATTCCCAACTTTTTATATCTGGAGAAGAATGAAAAGTTAATTCCATGGGTCTTTGCTCCTTTTTTAATCACAATTAAAAACATGATTATCACAACATCACTAAACATTAACATAACGAGACCTGTTGCTCTCATTTATGACAAATACCTTCTCTAACCTAAGAGTTTTACTTAACTTTTACATTGGGCTTTCAGTTAAATATTCTAGGTTTAAAATGTCATTATCTTAAAATTGTCCTTTTTGTTAAGTTGCTTCTGGAGGCTTTCCTGTTTCTTTAAGTCATCTTTTAATACTGTGTAGCAAAAACTACTAGTAGAATTACTAAATATGTAACTGTGACTTAAGCAATCTGATTACTTTGTAGTTGGAAGTAGCAAGTTACTGTAGCTTTGCATCAGTGATCCTGTAGAAACTCGAAGGGCTGGTGTGTCTGCTTGTGCACTGTTGATTGAGGGTGAATACGTGGAAAAGAACCAAAGTATATGCTGAATATACAAACCCAATACTTTTGTGATTTGTGCTGTATAACTGTCTTTTTCTAATGGACTTGGAGATTTTTTTGTTAAAGGAGGAGTATTTAATTATTCCTGTTTATTAGGTCACTAAAAGGGATGAAGATTCTTCTCTGATGCAGCTTAAAGAAGAGTTTCGGAGTTATGAGGCTTTGCGGAGAGAACATGATGCCCAAATTGTTCACATTGCCATGGAAGCAGGACTTCGAATATCACCAGAACAATGGTCTTCTCTTCTGTATGGTGACTTGGCACATAAATCACACATGCAGTCCATTATTGACAAGGTTTGTCAAAGGCACGATTTTAGTATCTTTGTAGGATTAGATTAGACTATTAAATGTTGTACTAAAAATCTCAAGAAAGCTTGAGTTAACTTTTTGTCTTTAGTTATATAACATATTAATTAAACTAGAATGAAAGGGGTTTTCCCACTACAGCGTCTTCTTCATATGAAGACATTTTGATGTTCAGTAGTTTAAGACTAATTCCCTTTTATGTGTCTTATGATGAAGCTTCATAGGGCAGATTCTGAGATGAGAAATAAAATTTCTCTCCACTGATACTCTCTATATGCCATCTGAAGACACGACATAATGCATTTAGAAACCAGTGTAATGAAAATCTTTCTCAGATCAGTAGTTCACGGTTGTAAAATGCAGCACACTAATGCTTGCTTTGTTTTCAGCTCCAATCTCCAGAGTCTTTTGCAAAGAGTGTACAAGAATTGACAATTGTCTTGCAGCGCACGGGAGATCCTGCAAACTTAAACAGGCTGAGGCCTCATTTAGAGCTCCTGGCAAACATAGATCCAAATCCAGGTATGTAGATGAAGCTTTTTAAACATTCTTTTGATGTTTTTTGTATATAACAAAGAAAATTATTAAGATAACTTCCATTCCTTGTTTACGAAATTCCTATCTGTTACTATATAATAAACTCTTATTCAGGGCTGTCTGAGTTCTGTCCTAGTACTTGGTGTTTTGAAGTACTAGAAGAGTTGCCTCTTCTTATTTATGTTACTACTGGAGTTCTTGTCAGAATGACCAAGCCTGCTTTTAATGATTTTTAGATGCAGCATCTCCAACATGGGAGCAGCTGGAAAATGCAATGGTTGCTGTAAAGACTGTGGTACATGGGCTAGTGGATTTCATTCAGAATTACAGCAGAAAAGGCCATGAAACTCCACAGGTAACTATATATGTCTTAATGTACAGTTACTGAATGATGTAATTTTGAGAAGTTACTATTGCATTGAAACATTTATGGCCTTGTCTGTGGAATAATTGATGATACTGTTAACTGCATTCAGGTTTTGAGAACTTAACATTTCTAAATATGGAATGCAGCAGAACTTGCTATAGTGAGATCCATATAATGGTATAGTCTTTACCCCATCAACAAGAAATTTCCTTAATTTTCTGATTAAAGATGCAAAATGTATAATCATTTTGAATGTGACTTGTGTATTTTAAATCTGCTTTTATGTAAATTGTCTGCCAGGTTGTAAAAGGAATGTCTGGTGGTTTGATTTTTTTTCTTTGTATAGCCACAACCAAATAGCAAATACAAAACAAGTATGTGCCGAGACCTTCGACAGCAAGGGGGATGTCCAAGAGGAACAAACTGTACATTTGCTCATTCTCAGGAAGAGCTCGAAAAGTGAGTCTGGGAGATTTTCTTCTTCTTTTCTTTTTTTTTTTTTCTTCTTTTTAATTTAAATCCAAGAATCTCCGTAGAATTTTGAAAATAGTTTCTTCTCTACATTTATTCATTTGGAAGGATTTGTGAATCCCGATATAAAATTGAAACTACAGTAAAGCCTGCAAGTGAATTCCAGTTTTATTTTCTATTTTACCTCACATGAAGTAGAATTTCCTGTCCCGAAATTAAGTCTAGGCTCGGGGGCTGTCAGGAATCGCTTATATCAACTACAAGGTGGAGAATGTTAATTACATTTTAATTGTTTAAGGAATAAAGCGAGTTATTCCAACATGTGCATTCTTGAAACTGTTTTCACCCAAAACCATTTGGAAAGAACTGCAGAAGTGGATCTTCTAAGAGGAGAGGTGATGTTTGGTTACAGAGGAAGATGTTCATGTTCAGTTTGCAGATTGTTGAAAATAAGAACCATGTTTTGAAGTCTTGTAATTTTGTTCCTACCACATTCCTCTCAATCCCTTCCTTTTGCTAGTTTTACAAATACATTAAAATTCATAATTACCACTTCTTAAATCTTTTGTCTGTTTTACATGTGCTTGTTTATAGATACCGCTTGAGGAACAAAAAAATCAGTGCAACAGTGAGAACATTCCCCCTTCTAAATAAAGTTGGCGTAAATAGCACCGTCTCGACCACAACAGGAAACGTAATTTCTGTCATAGGAAGCCCTGAAGCAACAGGGAAGATGGTGGCAAGTACTAATGGAATAGCTAATCTGGAAAGTGGGGTTCCCCAGTTGATCCCTCGCTGTGCAGACACCTCCTTGAGAGCTTTGGAGAACACCAAGAAAGGAGGGAAGACTGGAGCCAATGGCCAGAATGTTTCTGGGTCCCCTACAGAATCACTACCTGAAAAGTAGGTAACCTTTATGCATAAAGATAAATAAGCACAACATTTTGCTTGTGGATTATCATGGAGTTTGTGGTGGCAAGCAATACATGCTGGATTCTGGTCCTGGCTTGCTGTTGTTGATGCTTACTGACTGCAGACTTGTGTAAGATGTACTGCAGTGCAGGTGTAGTTATACGCAGTCTGTGGACTCAAGCTGTCAGAGCCAGCATCAGTTGTTTTAGCTGTTGAATACTCCCATGCCATAGAGATGAAATGGTCAATCTCCCCCTTTATCTTTTATTCTCTTATTCTCAGCTTTGTATCTTGCTTGCTGTTGGGTTATTGCATACAAATTAAACAAAAACTTTGCATTCAAAATTTGATGTTTCCTGAAATCAGAAAGGGTGCACACTGTGCACCTTAGCACTTCCTTAATAATCTTGGAAACCTCCTAGTTCTGGGGTTTGCCTTTAAAACTTTTTAGATACTTCCCCAGGAAGGCCTGAGGCTCTAAACAGCTTTTCAGAGCTTTTGTCTTTACCACAGTGCACTTACAAGTGGTATGTAAGCTTCTGGTTACATACCAAAACGTTTATATCCACTTCTGAGTTCTCTTAGATCGAAGTCTAAGATGTAGGATCATTTTGGGGTGTGAGAAACAAAATTCCAGAGGAAATTACATAGCCCAAATTTGCACATTACATGGGAGTGTACATGGAGAGATGACTAACTGAAATAAGTCAAGATCTGCCTAATGATTTCTTGGTAATCCTTTTCAGTAAAATTGGTTCTCCACCCAAGACTCCTGTAAGCCAGGCAGCAGCTACCTCAGCTGGTCCTCCTAATATTGGAACAGAAGTTAATTCTGTACCTCCAAAATCCAGCCCGTTTGTTCCCAGAGTACCCGTCTACCCTCCACATTCTGATAATGTTCAATATTTCCAAGATCCCCGGACTCAGCTATCATATGAAGTTCCACAGTACCCACAGACAGGTGAGTGAGATGAGCACGGAATCACAAACAGCTCTGAACCTTTCTGAATGCTGAGAAATAACTTTTATCTCAATGTTTTATGTTTGTTTTGTTAATATCAGATGAATCTTCACTTAATGGAATACTAATCTGGTCATTTTAACCTCCTGTGTAAAGAGGTGTGTAAGATGCTGTCTTTTCAGTTACATATGGTACATTATACCGTAGTACATAGGAGCAATGGCAATTGGGTCAAGGTGGAAGAGGGTCAGCGCATCATCTCCAAATACAGTTGTCATATGTGAAATTAGCATTCCACAGGAAAACAATAGGGCCAGTAACAGGTTTGTAAAGTGTGACTCTTCATTCTCTAAACGTACTTATTAACAATATTTACAGTTTTAGAAGGTGTTAAATTGTGGGTCATTTGTGGTTACATTAAATATGCCTTTTTCCAATTTTTAAGGATATTATCCACCACCTCCAACAGTACCAGCTGGTGTGGCTCCCTGTGTTCCTCGCTTTGTGAGGTCCAATAACGTTCCAGAATCCTCCCTCCCACCTGCTTCCGTGCCATATGCCGATCATTACAGTACATTTCCCCCTCGAGATCGACTGAATTCTCCTTACCAACCTCCTCCTCCGCAGCCGTATGGACCAGTTCCTCCTGTCCCTTCTGGAATGTATGCTCCAGTTTATGACAGCAGGCGCATCTGGCGCCCACAGATGTACCCACGAGATGATATTATTAGGAGCAATTCTTTACCTCCCATGGATGTGATGCACTCATCTGTCTATCAGACATCATTACGTGAGAGATACAACTCTTTGGATGGGTATTACTCTGTGGCTTGTCAACCACCAAATGAACAGAGGACTGTGCCTTTACCAAGGGTAAGTGAGCCAGAAAGGGAAGGAGGTAGCCTTGGCTCTGAAGGCTATTATGTAAAGTTGGCAAGTAATCAGCATAGATGTCTTATCTTTATTTCGGATTACAGTAATCAAGACATGTGACCTGGACAAAGTTCTGGGGTTTTTACCCATTATAAAATGGGTTGTAAAATAGACTGATCTGCATTAGGATCAGAGCCTCTCTGCCTCTCTAGTTCCCATGCATGTTGCTTGAATTAATTACATATTTAATATTTGAGCTGCTGTACATGGGCAAGGTCCTCCTCCAAATCCTTGTGAAATTCAAGTGATATCAGTGCAAGGTTAAAGACCCAAGGGAATCTGAGGGTCCAGGTGTGTCCGTGGCAAGTATTTGCCTTTTGATTATAGTATGATCAGGTATGCAGTCCTATATTTATTGTTGCTAGGAGCCTTGTGGTCATTTGAAGACTGGTTATGAAGAGCAGTTAAGACGGAAGCCGGAGCAATGGGCACAGTACCACACGCAGAAAACTCCTCTGGTATCGTCAACCCTTCCTATGGCAACACCATCTCCAACACCACCTTCTCCTCTCTTCAGCGTAGATTTCAGCACAGAGGTGGGAAGCCAAAGAACTTCTTTATCTTTCCTTCCTGTTTAAGATGTCAGTCAATAGTTCTAGTAAAGGTTTTCCACCTACTACCTGTTGCTCATAAAATTAAATCTAGCAAAAGGAAAGTAGTATCTATTAACAGATGCATTCAATTTGATATTAACGTGATGCTGTACATGATTGTGGGGAAAAAAGGTCAAGAAATGAAGTGATTCAGTTTGCCCTCACTAAAGGAAATGTAATGTTACTGAATTAGCACTGTGAGCCCCCAGGTTTTTGTGTAGGGAGCAGTTGTTTGCTACTAAGAAGGACCTCCCTTTTCATACTCCAAATAGCATTATAAAGTGATGAATAGACTGAATCAAGCTGGGAATGTTTGTCAAGTCCCAGATAATACATACCTCTTAAAAGCAGCAAAAGGCATTGGTAGAACATTTTTTATTTTGTAAGTTCTGTATATGGAACTTAGTAAATAGGAACAGTGTGATTTTGGGGAAAAAAAATAAATCTTGTGATATTTACTTTCTATGTGTACTTTTAATTAAACACATCCAAAAAGCTAGTTTGAAGAACCACTGTGCCAAGCCCTCTTTGCTGTGGTTTGACAATTCCATTGACGATATTTTGGTGTTAGACTCTGATTATGCAGAAAAAGTCTTGTAAAGTGGGAGTACCTGAAGTCCCTTGTGGGTGCGTTCAAGGTAGATCAGGATATATGTAGTCCATTTCATCCATGTTGAAGGGTTCAAAATCATACTTCTATCTGCCACTGGCTTATACGTTAAAGGAAAATGCATGGCTTCTTCTCAGTTTAATTACTGTAGGTGTTTGCCTGAAGCAACTTGCCACTAGCGTGTGAGGCTGAAATCAGTGTCACTATCTTGGCAGTCCAGGCAGTTATTTGTAGTGGCAAAGCTTTCCCTTCTTTGACAGCTGTCACCTGCACTGGTTTAAATGAGTCAAAAATGGGTTATGTTGTCCCTAAGTAAAGTCTTGAATACAGCTAGAACTCCATGATTGACTTCTGAAATAATTTAACAGCAGTAAATGTCTTTTCTTATTTTAAGACTGAATTCCCTGGTTTTATTATTCACTGCTTATTTATTCCCTTTTCCATAGTTCTCAGAAAATGTCAGTGATTTGAGTGGAACTAAATTTGAGGAAGACCATCTCTCTCACTATTCACCGTGGTCTTGTGGCACTATTGGCTCTTGTATAAATGCTATCGACTCGGAGCCCAAGGATGTGATTGCCAATTCAAATGCTGTGTTAATGGTAGGGGTTTTCTGCATGTTACCTCATTAGTGTAATAATTCTCACATGCTGAAGTGTCTTCTGCTTGGTTATACAAAGCTTTTAAAAGTTGGTAGCTTCTATTCTTAGTATTTTGAAGCAGTTCTGCCCATTTGAGGTTGTTCGGAGTATCTTCTCCCAGTTTTGTAAATGAACTGTGTATTTACTTCAGTGACAGAATGTAGTGCTATGAGAGGGGGAAAAAAGCTATCTGTGAAAATAGGTACAAAAAATAGGTAGTATGAATCATGGAATGCAGATCACCTCTGGAGGGGTAAGAGCTCATGTTTTTGGGAGACTTCCTGCTATATAGTGTGGCAGGTTGCCTTTATATTGTATGAAACAGGTGTAATCAAGTCTCATCTCAAGCCTTCTTTGATACTGCCTCTTTCAAGTGCAGGGAAGGGTGTTGGTGGATCTTTAAGCATACTGGAATTTTTTCTGCCTGGAAACACAAGCTTGGAAAGGCAAAATTATTTCTTCTAGAAATGGTGGTAGCTTTCTTGTGGTCAGTTTGCCATTAAAGGGCGATAATAGTTAAACCGTGGAGGCCCAACTTGGCTCTCTAGTTGGACAGAATTTCAGCATTGTATTCAGGAACAATAATCAGAAAGTTGTTGGCCAGCTGAAGAACCTAAATAACCTCAAGTGAGTCCATGTATCTTTTTATCTCCTAAATATGTAGGATTTGGACAGCGGAGATGTTAAAAGGAGAGTGCATTTATTTGAAACTCAGAGAAGGGCAAAGGAAGAAGATCCTATAATCCCATTTAGCGATGGACCGATCATCTCCAAGTGGGGTGCAATCTCCAGGTCATCCCGCACAGGTTATCACACAACAGATCCTATTCAGGCCACTGCTTCCCAAGGAAGTGCTACTAAACCCATCAGTGTATCAGGTACAAGTATAAGCTTTGTATGACAATGTAGCATACATAATGAGCATTTCATCCCCTTCATGCTTGCTACAGCAGTGAAGATTCAAAGAGCTACAATATCTGTATAACCCGTTTGAAGAACAGAGAAGATAATGAATTGTGTCTTCATTTGTTACAGATTATGTCCCTTATGTCAATGCTGTTGACTCAAGATGGAGTGCCTATGGCTCAGATTCTGCTTCATCAGCACGTTATGCAGAACGGTATGGACTGTTTTCTGTGTTCTGTTAAAAGAATTGTCTATACCTTAGTGTAGTGTTCTTCAAAATCCTGAATCTGGTGGGGGAAAAAAATCTGGAGCTATTAATAATGTTCTGAATTTTAAAGTAAAAATTAAAGTAAAATGTTTTCTGTCAAGCATAAGGCTTTGGAAAAACTAGGTTAAAACTTGTGTAGTCTTTAATACTTAATGCAGCTAATAATACCCCATTACTAGCAACATACCCCTTGAGAGACCTCGTCAGAGAATTGGTGTCAGGTACTGCCAAGCTGTCATGTCAAAATGTGCAATCCCGAGTTGTTTCTCTCAAGTTTTCTTGCCACATTTTACTCATATGTAAAATAAGGATGTTTGTTTCATATAATATCTTGGGGTATTGTGAGCCCCAGTGAAGGTGAAGAGTGCATTATCTTAGTCATAGCGTTTCTGTCCAAAAATCTAACACTGATAGACTAAGGAAGTTTATGGGGCCTTTGATTTAGAGAACTTGTTTTTAATTCCTAGTTTTGCCTTCTTTCTCTTGAAGGGACAGGTTCATAGTTGCAGATTTGTCGGGTCACCGAAAGCATTCCAGCACTGGAGATCTATTGAGTATTGAATTGCAACAGGTAAGATGAGAAATTATATCGTGTTTTTAATAATTAAAACAAAAGTGATTTAGTAAAGTGATTTTAAATTGATTTTCTTAGTGTAGCCTACAGAAAATAGTACAATTGACAGAATGACCAATAAGGGTTAACTAGGTGCCAGTCCTGCAGTGCTTAGTATGATGCATAAGGACAGCTAGCATGAGCCATTCCACTGACATTAGCAAGGCCATTTTGGGAGAAACTGGTGAGCCTGATACATGTCAGCAAATGCAGAACAAACTAAATGCATTAAAGGAAAACATAGTTATCCATCTAGCAGGGGAACTGTCCCTTTGGTAGGCTGGTTTATTTTACCATTTGACAATACATGGTTGGTAACTGATACGTTTCTTTCCATAGGCCAAAAGTAACTCATTATTACTTCAGAGAGAGGCGAATGCACTAGCCATGCAACAGAAGTGGAATTCTCTAGATGAAGGCAGTCGTCTTACCTTAAATCTTTTAAGCAAGGAAATCGATTTGAGGAATGGTGAGGTAAAGAAAGGGGTAATTGGGATGAAACAAATTTGAGGTTTTGTGTATATACATAAGTGCATGCATTTTAGCCAAGAGCTAAAAATAGTTTTATCATTCCCAAATATTTCTAACATGTTCTTTGCAAGTTAAGTCACTGTTGTTGTTGTCTGGTTATTTCCCTGAGATCGGGTAGGTGCATCTGTAGTGCCGCTGCTCCAACCATCCATTTACAAAATGGGAAGAATGTGACAATCCATTTTCATGCAGTCTTTACTTTCCATTCTGTTGTACATGTTAGAAACATAAACATTGTGTCAGTGGACTCCTACAGAATTTTCTACCTCAGAATTGCATTTTATCTCTCTGTTTCAGTACTTTAATGTGATTAGATGTAGTTTTGTCCCCTATTTTGTCTATGCTCAAAGTTCTATTTGTGTTTGTCTCGTGTGTTTAGAAATGTTGTGTCCTAGAAATGAATCTGATGTTTTCACTGTAATACTTGAGTGTTGTATGGAGCAGGTGAAAAGCCAGCTTGATATTACAGAGCATATTCTTTCTTTTTCAGACTGATTATACTGAAGACTGTGCAGACACAAAGCCAGATCGAGACATTGAATTGGAGCTGTCAGCCCTGGATACAGATGAACCTGATGGGCAAGGTGAACAAATAGAAGTAAGTACAGAAATCTGTGCGTCTAAAGAGGTCACTGGGTCCTTTCATTAGTTACTAAGAAACTTTTACAATTTCTATGTGAATTAGTAGATCACTTTGATAGCAGAATCTTGTGTTTAGTCTTTGTAGTGATATCAAACGCTTGCCTTATTTGAACACTAGGGGTCTCGCTGAGATACCTGGCAGTTAGTATTACCAAGTTGAAAACAGCTCGGTGTGTTGTCACAGCTTTCAGCTTTTTGCTCTTTGATGACATTAGTAATGGGGAGTCTGTCCTTTCCCCTTCCCCTCCGGTGTTGAAACTGTAGTTAAGAATGGTTTATGTTTAAGTGTGATCATTTAACTTAAACTTTATGCTCACCTGGGTTCTAACAGTAATTTAATTGTAACCCAGTGTTCTTTTGTTTTCACTACTACTTCATTGTTTGTAATGTAACTGGTGCATCTTTCTTTTGCTGGGCAATGTTAAAACATTCTTGAGTTCGTTCCAAGCATTAGGATCAGTTTTCCTTTTTTAAAACATTAAATTAACGTTCTTATCTGGAACATATCCCATAACCCACTTCCCAATACTCACTTACAGTACTGGTGACAGCTTTTGTTTGCTCTGCCTGAGGTTTGTGAAGCAGTAGTATTTTCTATTGTGTATCTTTTGTTAACCGTCCTGCCACTCGATTTGTGAATCACCACTACGTGGATGGAAGGATCTTTCTCTTCAGCCTTACCTCTATCCATGATTATTGAAACAGCTCTCGCTTTACTGCCTCCTTCCTCTCTCACCTGATAAGCCATTTTTTTAGCAACTGATGTTTAAACTGATGTTTACCATCATCATTCACTGCAGTCTTTGAAAGATTGTTTTTTCCTTTTCCCTATAGTAAAATAATGTAGACATTGCAAAGTATGAAATAAAAACAAGGAGTCTTTTGACGAGACTCTGTTTCTGTCAGTTTTATGTAGTGGAACATATTAAGAAAATTTAAAGCTGGTTGTGACAGTGTTGATGGATATTTCTCCTTTTCCTCTCTAGGAGATTCTGGATATACAGCTAGGTATTAGTTCTCAAGATGATCAGCTGCTCAATGGGACAACTGTAGAGAATGGACATCTGCTAAAACAGCACCAGAAAGAATCTATGGAACAGAAGAGACAAAGTTTAGGTGAAGACCTTGTGATTCTGTGAGTGTTAGACAAAACAGCAGTGTCTGCCAGTTTTAGACAAACAGCAGCATCAGAATAGGTGAATCATGGTTGTTTATGGATGAACTACGTACCTACTCAGACTTGGATTAGACATCTGCATTGTGTATACATGGTGAAGTGAGAAGAACCTGTTAAGAAATAGAATTAGGTCACAAATACAGAAGTCACAGGATGGCACCATTGTTCATATGCATTGTTGTAATCATATACACTAAAACGTGTCACAGCTGTTAAAAATACCTTTCACATTCAGTAAGCAAAAAAATGCAAAAGTATTTTTATAGTTAACAGAAATCAAGAAAAACTCCAAAAGGTGAAATGTCCTCCTGTTTGCACAAATCTCCATAGAGAGGTAGTTTTTAAAATACACTATTTTAGGTTTCTATGTTCTGTAGTCTTTACTGTGTAATGCAGCCTTTGAAAATGAGGCAGACTACACCTTGAGCGTACCGTTCCACAGTAAGCTGTTTAGCCTGTTGCTAAAAAGGAGTTGATGTCAGTATTTATTTAATGCACACAATTCAGTTGCGGATACTTGTGCATGTACTTGTTTAATATTTGTGTAACTTATTTTTCTCCTCAGGGAGGAGCAGAAAACAATCCTGCCCGTAACTTCTTGCTTCAGTCAGCCGATCACATCTGTTAGCAATGCAAGCTGCCTGCCCATCAGCACAGCAGTCAGTGTTGGCAGCCTCATTTTGAAAACTGCTCACATTATGTCTGAGGATAAAAATGACTTTTTAAAGCCTGTTGCAAGTGGCAGGATGGTTAACAGCTGAAAGGCATTCATCTTTCCAGCTTGTGACCACACCATGGAAGCATTTACACTAGCTTTTTATATATATAATATATATTATATAATGTATATTTTTTTTAAAAGAATAATATTGGGGTCATGCATTTCCTGTGGACTCTTTGATACTTCAAGCCCCTCTCGCATTAGCATTCTGAAGAAAAAAAAAAACTTACTTTCCTAGGGTAAGGCGTTCACTTTCCACAAATGAATGGAATTTGGACATTGTTTTACTTAAGCTTAAAGCAGCTTTTTATGAGTTTGTAGCAATCCGGTGCGGTATCTGAGCCATTCTTGTTTAAAATGGCTTCTGTAGAAAACTAACAACTCAGTTATTTAAACTAGCAGGATCCTACGATGATACATCTAGTGAAAGGAAGACTTAACTTATTTGTCTCTATTTTGTTTCATGAGAGAAGAACTCGTGTCTTGTTGCAGCTGCTTTTTCTTTAGTTGTGGAACTTTGCATGGAGTATTGTTTCCTGTTTGAAGACTGAGAGGTGGAGATTCGGACTTGAGACTTTTACAGGGTTAACACACCATTAGCTTTGCACTGCTACGTTATTTGCAGGTCTGTGGTGCAGTGCTTTGCTGCAGCTTTTTTGTTTCCATTTCCCCCCCCAATTTCTGCTTTAGTAATGTAGATACACATACACAGGCTACTTGTCCAAGTAAAGTTATCAGAAGTAAACCAAGTGCCTAAGTCCTCCAGCTAATGTACTAGGTATTGATTTCCCCAAGTTATACGTGAAACGATTTTCAACCATTTTGAGAGGTTATGCACTAATGTAACAGCAATTTTGGTTTTTCTCTTTTTTTTCTTACTGATAGTTCTCAACTTGGAGATTATAGAATCCAGATGACTTGGCAAAAAGTATCAGGTGCTCTTGGCTTTCCTTTGAAAACCCTGTACGTAGTGTTTGCACTGACTAACAAAGATGGTATTGCTGTTTTTTGTACTGTTTTGTTCTTAATTTAAACTAAGTATTGGGAATTTAAGGCGGTTGTATTACCTTTGTTAAATGTTGTTAATCATAATTTTGTATTCAGGTTTAATTTTTGCTTGTTCAGTGGCAACTTATTTTCAAAGACCTTGAAAATACAATAATAGAGCATTATCTGACCTTCAGAGTACTGAAAAGCATATGAATTTATGCCCTGCTAAGGTGTGACTGAGAATCATGTTAGACATGTCAACTGAAAATTGGTTTTCATAAATACACATGAAATAGAACCCTGGGCATATATTTTGTTGGTTTGAGAAGCTTAAAAATCCACTCTTTTTTTTTCTCTTTTGGGAAAGAAAGCAGGACTCTCCCTCCTGATGGTGACTCTCTTCTTGTTCGTCCTCTTCCTTTTCTTTGTGACAAGTTTTACATTTTATTTTATTTTTCTTTTCTTTTTTTTATGTTTTTTATTAACTTCTGTGAAGTTGTTTACTCTGAAAATTGTACTGGAATATTTTAAGCCAAGCTGATCTTTCACCAGGTGTACTGCATGTAAGGGCTTTTCCTGCTAGCAAAAATGCTTAAAGAGGATCATGTTACTGGTCGTCTGAGTTGTTATTTTACAAAATCACAGCTATGTGGTCGGGTAAGATTTTGATAACTGTTTTGTGCACGCTTCTGGGGGGTGGGGGTTGGCATTTCCCTGAGGGTTCCTGATTAGACTAAGTACATATTGGTGTTTGATATCTCTCCTAATGAACCTGTCCATGAGATAATTATGTTGTAAATATACCTGAAAATCCAAGGGTTAGTTTTGATATTCTGGTGTCAGTATGGAAGATCTTACACATCTATTTAATACTCCAGTGTAAAGGAATGTATGTAGAAAACCAGTTGAGTAGTCTTTTCTTAGTTTCCTTTGGCTGTTGCTGTACCTTCCTATAGCCAGTGCCACCTCATAGCTAGGATTAGACTGATGCTTTGTTTCACTTGCAACTTGAAGTGAATGGACACAAAAACCAGACCACCTTTGTCACCTTAACTTATTTCCTATCGATGTTAACTTTAACTTAGAATGTTAGACATAAATATGATTGTTGTATATTTTATACCAAGGCCATTATGTAAATATGAATTTATATTACTTTTGAAATGCTTCTGAGATACTATTATTTGCTGTACAATGTAATTCCAAAACAGATATGCAAACAAGTATGTCTCTTTCATGGATATTTAAACAGTGAGATCTTCCATGTTGAAGGTGATGTAATTTTTTTAAAAGATTTTTAAATTTTAAATTGCTATTTTGTTACAAAAATAGAGAAAATATAAAGGTTTGAGAAGTCCTTATTTGCCCTCAGGGAAAGAGCCCTCTGTGCACCAGAACTCCACAGAACATCTTCAGCATGATCTGAGGGTGAATATATACTACATAAATTGATTGTGTATTTACCTTAACTTTTTAATTTTAAAATTGCAACTTTAAAAACTTGGTTGTGCTCTGCTGGAGGGGGGTTGGGATAAGCTGCTTACACACATTTGCCTGTTTGTCCAGTGAAATTACATAAGCCTGAGATCCTCCTGCTAACCAGACTGGCATATTTAACAACAGATGTATCTATATATACTCTTGTCTGCAGCAGGAGGTCCCATGATAGAGCAGTTCGCTAGGATGACCATACACTTCAAATGGAAAGTTGGCTCTTAACTGGGGCTAGGGGGTTTATTTTAGTTGGATTTTTACTATCTAGAATGACAGGCAAAAGAATTCTTTAGGGATTTCAACATCATGCGAGCTTTGTCTTAACAGTTTTAGCGCTGATTGTGTGGTTTATGCCATGAAATTGTGCCCTCCAGTGCCCTGACAAGGAGAAAGCTACAGGTGGTAACCTAGCTCGGGCTTTCTTCTTTGGTGAAGTTTCAGCCTTTGACCCTATACAAACAAGTATGTATTCATTGTCTAGATGTAAATCAGGTGCCTTTGGGCTATGGAAGGGCTTATTTTCTGATGCTGAGATACAGTGACTTATCTTTGTGTGTGAATAGCAGTGATTCCCATGTAGGTTTTGGCCTAACTTACCTGTGCTGTCAGAAAAAGGGCCCATAGCAGAATGGGGAAAGAGATTGGCTCTTTTGCTTTGCTTGGACAAGCATTTTGGGTTGTTTTGGTTTGGCTTTTGGTTTGGTTTGGTTTTTTTCCCCACTAGGGGTACAGCAGGGATTTCACATGCAAGAGATACAGGAATTATTAGTGTCTAAGTTAATTGTGTTGCCTCACTACCTGGATTCACTCCTTGGTTTGCCTCATTTCCCACATAGGTCTTAATAGAGACTAATGCTTGTGCTGGGAGAATGCTTGTGTGAGAAAGTAATTATCTGTACATTCTTAACATATACTTAGAGCAGAGTGATTGCCCTGCTACTGATATTTTGTTCCTGTAAACAGGTGACAAGAAATGAATCTTAGTGTTTATGCAGATTTTGCATTGTAGAATGTATACTAGACCCTTCAAAGGAAAGGTTAGACTCTTTGCAAAGCAAACTGGCGTTGGTTCTTGGTAGTCTAGTACAGGGACACTAAAGTTTGACATTTGATTTAGGAAAAAAACCCCAAGTTGTACACAGCTGATTATGTTAAATAAGCTCTTAATTGCTCTTTGTAGAAGTCTAATTTGGGAGGTTTTAGTGCTTTGATAACACAATTGAAATCTTACTTTATCCTGTACTCGAGCTGAATGCTGTTCTTGTATAATAGTGTACTAGGCTGGATGAGGTACAAAATAATGCACAGAGGTCAGAAACAGCTGAGGAAAGAATGCTTAAAATAATGTAATCTAAACTCAGAATAGTTCCAAACATTGGTTTTGTTTGCTTTTTTAAAGCACAAGTTGTCAAGTTGTACCTGTTGCTGTACATAAACACTGTATGCCAGCAGCTCCTTGATCATATCTGTGGACAGACTTTGCATTATTATTAGACTGTTCTTAAAGGAAGATGTTGAATTTGAAGAGTATAACAAAATGAAGAAATGATCGGATTATCTATAGTATGTAAAAGTCCATTCTTTATGTTGTAGTTTAATCCCTTTTTTAGGAAATTCCCTCTCATTGAGGGACCTCTTCTGCAAGCAGAACACAATAGATGTGCTTTTTTAAATGACCCCGTTTTCCAGTATAAAGGAAGAGCTAACTTTGGCAGTAAGTCATCACCATGCATCTCTCTGCTGGCAAGGGAGCACGGCAAGAAAAGAAACCAAACCCCAACCTGGCAGTGATGAGATGAATCAAATCTGAATCCCAAAATGCCCAATACCCGAACATAATTATTACACCCTGTTATTTAAGAAGGATGCTTGTGGAAGCTTTTAATCACTCGAGATTTCGCTGTAAAAGCTGAACTACAACAGAGCCTGGCTGCATTTATTACTGCCAAAAGCCAAGGTCATTTGCACATAGCCCATCAGTGTATCCAGGGTAGGTCTCAGTTAATCCAAGGCATGGAAGTGCATGCATTTTCTTAGCTGGGCAAACAAGTACATTATACAGTAGTTGTGATACAACACATGTGGCTTTTATTTGTACTGCACATACCCACTGTACAGCCACTCCGAAGTATCGTGGTTAGCTTGCAGCATCTGCTGTCCGCATTTATACTGTTTACTGCGTATTCTTTTCCCTGGAAGTTTTAAAGAAAATTGGGGTTTTTTTGTTTTTTTTTCTCTTGTTGCATTGATTACATTTTAAAATTTGCTTAGCTGGAAAGTTTGGGAAAAGAGGCCTGTTTGTCAATTGTACAACCGATTGTGAAGCTCTAGTGTGAATATTTTTACGTCTGTATTAGACATTTTCTTTGCAAATCTATTGTTCGATTGAAATGTAAATGAAATAAAAGATGGTGTACACCCATCATGTATAAAGCAGGCACCATCGCTACGATGGATTTAATGCTCATTTTTATGGCGCATTCTCAGCTTCTATTTAAAACTATAATTTAAAAAAAAAAAAGAAAAAAAATCTGTAAAATGAAATGGGGTTATATGGGGGAGTAAATTCTATTCCGTTTATCTCGGGTTGAGTTCCCAATGGTCGTTTCCCTTCGTGTTAGAGGTAGGGGCGGGCGGTGCCGTGTGTGTTTGCTGTAGCACTGAAGTGAAGAGGTTGTATAGCTTTGGCTGGTCACGGAGTAGAGCATCCTGGTTTTCAGTGTTTGAGAGACTCGGTGGAAGAAGTTTGCAGTATTGACATGTATTTGCATGCACCAATAAAAATTATTTGTCCACCTTAACTGCCTCTTTGCCTTCACCTGCGGGAAGGAAGGGGTGGGAAGGAGAGGAGGAGGAGGAGGGCGGGATGATCCTCCCCGTTCCCGCCGTGCTCCGCGCAGCCAGAGCCAGCCCCGGAAGGCGGCGGCAGCGGGTGAGGTCCGGGGCCGCGGTGAGGGGCGGCGGGGCGAGCGGCCTTGGGTGAGTTGATGCGGAGGCTGTAAGGGGAGGGGTCCGGGCGTTCAGAGCATTCCCCCTCCTCAGCCCAGGCTCGGCTGTTCTGGTTCCTGCTTCCGCATCGCGCAGCCCCGGCCGCGGGAGGAGGATGCGCCGCGGAGCCCCGCCTGGCCGCGGGCGCCCCGTTGTGTCGCTCTGCGGAGTAGCCGCGGTGATGGGCGGCCATCTGGGCACCTCCGCGGCGAGCTGCTTAATCTGGCTTTAGCTTGCAGAGCCTGCTGGCGTGGGGCGTTAGAAGTGAAAGCTCTGCTTTACCCATACGCTGCTTCGGGTGGCTTTGTGAGAGACACACGCATGAAGGGGGCTGGCTCTCATGCATGAACCCAGATCTATTGATTAGATTTAAATCGCCTTTTAATTTCTTTGCAATGAAATTCTGTGGACGTTTAAACGCAGTTTGCCCGTCGCAAGTCCACAGCCACATATGTGACCTTAGTGGTACTCTTTTTCTATGCCCCTTGCCCAAGAGAGAATATGATTGAGCATCTTGCATCTCCATCAGGATGAGATCGGATCAGCAGCACTTTTAGAGGACTGCAGTGGAAGAAGGCGGTGGAGCCATTCTCTACTTTATTAATTCTCTATTTGTTATCTATTAATATTAGAACACAATGACTGCTTTGGATGATAAACTGCTTGGTGAGAAGCTCCAGTATTATTACAGCAGCAGTGAGGGTGAGGATGAAGACAGTGACAAAGAAGATAAAGAAGGGGAGAGCACCATTCCTGAGAGCGGTGGGGAGGTAGAGCTCAGCAGCGATGGCAGTGCAGTCAACACAGGTATTGTCATGTCAAACTCATGTCTTAATAAGTACAAACTTAAGGACTTGTAAATGGCAAATCACTTTGTTCATTTTATGTCAACATTTTACACAGTATACAAAAAGTTTATGAGAGAGCCACTATTTTATACTGACTTATGAATTATTACTTGAATTGTAAACGTAGCTTTATTGCCCTTTTATGCAAAATGCCTGCATATTTAATTTCAGGTCCCAAGGGAGTCATTAATGACTGGCGGAGATTTAAACAACTGGAAACCGAACAGCGGCAGGAGCAGCGCAGGGAAATGGAGAGACTCATAAAGAAGTTATCTATGACGTGTAGGTCTCACTTAGATGAAGAGACTGAGAAGCAGAAGCAGAAAGAGCTTCAGGAAAAACTCAATGGAAAGGTAGCATGGCACAAAGGAATTAAAATGCCACATAGATGTTTAACATTTTCAGTTTCATTATTTGTGTACATGAAGCAGAGCGGAATCTGTGTTCTAGCAGGAGATTTGTATCCTATTTCCCTGGTAGATAAGAACACAGCTGCAGTATAAGAAGTGCATTGCAACTGTATTTGCCAAGTGTTGTCAAGTTTAAGTATTTTGCATTTTAGTGGTATTTGTGTTTGCCTGTGTTAAGAAATAAGCAATTTGGTTGCTCTACCAAAGAAGTCCAGATCCTATTCCCAGATTTCCCTTGAGTGCTTATCAAATAAATCAACTTCAGAGGATTAATACTGAGACGTGTACGGCAAATCTATGACTGCTGCCTCCTGAGCCAAAAAGAAGAGTTTAGGATTCCTCACTGATTTAGTATTTAGTACGTGGGTGGATGTTGAAATTTGGCTTTGACTTTTTTGCTCCAAAGATAGATGGTATTTGAGGTGGAGAATGGTTTTAATCAGCTGTGAGCTGCATAACTAGTTCTTGCAGTTCTAGTCAGAGAAGTTACTAATTAGTAATGACGAAAGCTGTCCATGCTGTTCTATAGCTTAAGTGATGCTATTGTATTCAACAAAGGAAGTGAACAGGTACAAAATACCTCCTAAAATCCTGTTAAATTTAGTTCTACAGGCAAGGTAGTACATTTGGTTGCCACAGAATGTTAACTTAAAAGCTAGATGAAAAAACTAATGAGAAAGAAGGAAAAGTTAAGTCAGGCACCATATCCACATCAGCGCTTGTAGCTTAGGGAAAGCACATAGCCAGCATTAACCTGAATTGAAGTGGGAACATGGAGCAGCCACTTGTGTTATTAGTGCAGCTTGTGGAACCTAGAATTCCCAAGGCTGAAATCACTGTTCCCACTGGACACAGCTTCTAATTAGATCAAAATGAAGTGTAATGCAGAGGGTGCTTGTGCCTTCATGGGTTGCACTTTGCTGTTGCTAAAGATGAGTGACCCACATTAATCCTCTCAATTGGAATTCTCGTTATGTAAGTGACCCATATAGCGATGCACATCTCTTTGATGTATCTTTGTGTGTGTGTTTCTCAGATGACATTACAAGAATATAACATGATTCACAACGATGAAGACGACGAGGAGTTTTTGCAGCGATACCGGAAGCAGCGGATGGAGGAGATGAGGCAGCAGTTGTACAGCGGGCAGCAATTTAAACAGGTTTTTGAGATCACCAGTGGAGAAGCGTTCCTGGACACGGTTGATAAAGAGCATAAGAGCACACTGATCATGATCCACATTTACGAAGATGATATCCCTGGCACCGAGTCCCTGAACGGCTGTATGATCTGCCTGGCTGCTGAGTACCCAACAGTGAAGTTTTGCAGAGTAAAGAGTTCACTCATTGGGGCTAGCACCCGCTTCACTAACAACGCGCTGCCCGCTCTTCTCGTCTATAAGGCAGGTGAGCTCATTGGCAATTTCGTGCGCATCACTGACCAGCTTGGGGAGGATTTTTTTGCCGTAGACCTGGAGGCTTTTCTGCAGGAGTGCAGTTTGCTTCCAGAAAAAGACCTGGTGCTCCTGACTTCTATACATAATCCAACTGCAACTTACAGTGAAGACAGTGATCTGGAAATAGACTGAACTGCTTGTTCCAAGGGCCAGTAGGTGTAGTTGTACAGTGGGATGCTCATGTGCTAGGTAGGGATTGTTCTGTTTCTTCCATAGTGCAGGTATGTTTTCTTCCCTTTCGTGCACTTCAACTTTTGCTTGTTAAAAATCATGTAAAGAATCCCTAAGATTTTCTTCAGTTCAGTGAAGTACACTTAACATAAGTCTTGCTTTTATGCAGTTGAAGTGTATTTTACTAACCATGAAGCTAACACAATTCAGTAAGTTTAGGAGATTGTGTAGTGTCATGTCTGTTCCCCACATCACTTGTGTCCAGTGCTGGGGAATCCACTGCTCCCCTGGGGAGATTATTCCAAGGACTGATTGTTCTCATTGTGAAAAATTTTCCTCTTGTATCCAGTCGGAATTTCCCCAGGAATAACTTGTGCCCGTTGCCCTAATTCCATTACTGCTGCCGAATGTGCACTGCCCTCCTGCAGCACCTTTGTCATTACCATTTCTCAGCAATAACGTTTCCATTAAGGCGTGTTTGTTTATTTGGTTTGGCCTCTACATCCTTCATAAATCAGAGCATATATGGGGAAGTAATTTCAGGGTTTCTGTTACATTAAAGCTCACCCTGCCTCCAGCAATCCTGCTGCTGCGTAGCTGCAAGATAACCTGGGCAGCATGAGAAGCCGTTAGCAATTTATAGCAACTGCAGGCATGAGCACCTTGTAGTTAAGGCTTTACTCAAAGCTTTACTGGCTGGGTTATGGTGTGGCTGCACTGCTGAAACCATGCACCTCGCACACATCAGCATGCTGAGCGGGTGTGCTCTGCACTTAGTTGTTACTGAATCCTTTTCTACCTACTTAATTTGACATTACAACACATTTGCTTTCTCATGCATTACTTACTGTGCTTGTTGTCTTTTAATTTTGAGGAAAGTAGACTTATCATTACCTAAACACGACCCAACATAATGCCCTGTTTAATGATTAAATTTAATTGCAAGTTTTACATAAGGCAGTGTGGAACACCAGGAAGAAATGCAAATGTCTCTGTGCAAGCACTAGGCTCTTAATAAGAATGAATCTTAGGGTAGAAAAAGAAGAATTTGGAACTGTGTCTGTTTGAACTGTGTTTTAAAAAGTAGCATTAGGAGAAGAAGAAATAATTTGTAATTAAAAATTACCGAGTTGGCACAAATTGTAGCTGTTTTAAGGAAACTGGCAGAAATCCAGCTTTTCCAGTGTGCTAAGAGATTAGTTCTTTTCATCTCAGAATCACGGAAAAATAACCCATGAAAGTTATGTGAAATTAAATCAGTGAACATGGATATCAGTGTATTTAAGGGGGGAAAAAAGCTGTAATTTATATTCAGGAGGAGATTCAGTGAAGTCTGCCATGCAGAGAGGGTGCATTTTAGCAGCATCATCCAACCTGGCTTGGAGCGGGGCTCAGGGAGCGCTGACTGCTTGAGTTGCTTTGAAGTTTTGTTTCGTATAAAGTGCTTCATTTTTTTGCCCTTATGGCAGCAAAACTGGAACAGGATCAAAACCTCTCGTGCTGCTCGGTCGGGTGGCCTGCAGCAAGGTGACTCCTGGTTATTACTGTCCAGTGCACAGGTATTGGATGGATGATTTACAGGGCTGGTAGCAAAAAGGAAACGAAAAGAGGTCTGAATGCAATTAATCATTGAGTATAATAAGCAGGAGGGAAAGGGGGGCAGAGAGATGAGGTGCAGCACTGCTTCTCATTCTTGGCACAGGCAGCGTTGCTGCTGCTCCTCTTGGCCATTCTTGCAGTTAAACCCTTCCCAACTGGTAATTGCGTGCCCTAAAATAACAGCACTTTTCATGTGTATTACACAAAAGAACAGAAGTAGTTTAGAATAGAGTAGTGACTAATTTGTGTCTGTCCCCTGTCCATTCAGTACAAATAGAAACTGCAACTCATACCATGCTGTGGTTAAATGTGGGTTGAAGTGTTAAAAGTCCGCTTTATTTCTCTAACTTTCGATGCGATCCTGACCTGCAGATGAAGAATTGAGGTGTATTTATATATACATATGGGGGGCTAAAGTGAAAATGAAATTGCATTAATATCTACATAAAATAATCCTGTTTTGGAACATGTAGCTTGGCATTTGAGCGAGTGAGGCTTGTGGTTTGATGCAGGTGCCTGTCCTTCCACCAAAGCCGTTGTACTGTCACCATCAGATCTTCACTTAAATCAGTGCATTCCTTCTAAATGGTTTGGTTTTGAATAAAGGATGCTTTTTAATTTTGTCAGAGATGTTCCATCGATCTTTTCTGGCACAGCAGCTTCCCCAGCACAGAACATGGTTCTTGGCAGAAAGCTGAGAGGTGGTGAAGTGGGGTTTGGTACCATGCAGGGCTCTGGTGCAGCGGGTGGTAGAAATTGGTCAACTCTGGTGGCTGACCCCAGGCTTGATGGGCCCAGGTGACTTCCTCCAATGGGGAACTGCTTTTCCATTCAGCCTTAGTGCCCTACTTATCTTTGCCACCATGGGGTTCAGATAACTTTCCATCATCAATCTTGATTCTGGAGAGGAAAACCCTGGAGCAGCTGCACCCCGTCTGCAACCTCTGTCCTTCCCTTCCCTCTAACGTGCTAAAGCATTGCGGGCAAGTGGTCTTCTTGCAGGGTCTCCTCTGGTCAGCGCTAGCCTCCTGCTCGGTGAATCATCAGTTAAGAGGTCGCAGAACCACAGCCAGATGTTCTCATTGTTGCTGTTTGCACTGCACGTCCTGCATCCACGTCGGTCCCTGCGCAGGCAAAGCTGCAGCTGGGCTGCTCGGAGCTGCTTGTTTAAAACTCAGAGGATGTCCCACAAGCTGTGTTTACCAAGAGCTCAAAACAGCAGTGCTTGCCTCTGCACCATCCCCAGAGCTCGCAGTGCTGAGGGGCACTAGGAGCCCTCACCTTGGCTGGGTGATGCTGGTGGATGCACAAGACTAAATACCATGTTTAGATGCAAACTGCTGTCTTCTACCGTGGATGTGCCTGTGCATTGTGGTGGATCAGCTGGTGAGGATGTGAGTGATTTCTACCAGCTGCCATGGCTGAAAGACTAGCAAAGAAAAGGCAAGGGCTCAGCAGTGCTGCATGTGCAGTCCCCAGGCTCACAGAGAAGGTTTTGATAGCGTTAGTCCTACAGTGAAACAATTTCAAAGCTTTTCCCATAGCAGAAGGCTGAGGTGCAGGAGGGAGATGCTTCCCTGTCCTGGGCTGTGGCGTGTGGGAGCTGGTGACATGGCTGGAAGGGATTTCAGGTTCGCTGGTGTCAGCTCGGCTGAGCTAGTTCCTGGATGAACATTCCTCCTTGGTGACAGAGAGCATCTGGGCAGCTCTCTGTGCCTGATGGAATCCCATACCCTTATCAGTTGGTACCAGCCAGCACTGGTTGCCTTCGATAGCTACAAACAAAAGCAGGATGTTTGTGGTCTAACTGAAACCAGCTGAGCTTGTGCCTTTAGCTGGGTGGTAAAGGAGGCTGGAGCAGCTCAGTGCAGGGAGGGGGTGATCATGCACATTCTGGAAGTGTGCTCTAGCTGGCTGGAGACATGGGGCATGGAGATCCCGGTGTGGATCTGGGACACGCTGACAGACTGGATGAGGTACTGCTCCCCATCTGCTGCTGTTTGCATTGTTCCTGAGCGCTGTGATTTTGGCTGAGCGAGGGATGCACAGTGAGGGTCATGGCCCTTGGAGGGGCACAGCACAGGGTACAGCCGGGCAGACCCTTGGGGAGAGACCCCCCAGCACTGCCACCTGGGCCAGCACGAACACCTACAGCGTGTCCTCCTGTCCCTCTGCACGCTGCCACCAGCCTCTTCCACCTCCTTGGGGAGCTCAGCATCTTCACCAGGTGCAGCAGTGGAGGAAGGACCGTGAGGGCTGCCTGGGCTCTGCGCTCCTCTGTTCCAAGCTGGGGATCCCTGTGGAAGAGGGGCTGCAGGTGGCCCAGTGCTGGAAAGGGTGATAGAGCACAGAGGGGTCCAGAGTGTCCCGAGGAGGTGGGTGTCCCGTGGGGAACCCCAAAGCTGGCTTAGTGCGAGGTGTTCACTAGCAAGAGAGCTGGGTCTGCTGAGGACGGTGGTGGCAGCTGCAATCCTGTTATGGTTTAAGCCCAGCCAGTAACTCAGAACCATGCAGCCGCTCACTCACTCTCCTCCTTCCCCCCGTGCTCCCGGAGGGATGAGGAGGAGAATGGAAATAATGTAATGAGATAAGAACAGTTTGGTAACTAAGGTATAATACCAAAACAAAATATAATATTTATATATTTAAAATTTTAAAAATATTAAAATTTATAAAATTTATATAGATACTTAGTTAGTACTACTAACTAAGGTATAATACAAAACCACTAGGACTAACTAAAGTATAATACAAAACCACTAGGACTAACTAAAGTATAATACAAAACCACTAGGGCTAACGAAGGTATAATACAGGAGTACTACTACTACCACTAATAATAACAATGATAAGGGAGATGAAAAGGGGAGAGAATACAAAACTAAAAGGGAAAAGAAACCAATAAACACAAGTGATGCTCAGTACAATTGCTCACCACCCATTGATCGATACCCAGCCTGACCCAAGCAGCGATTTGGCGTTCCAGGTAACTCCCCCCAGTTTCTATCCTGGATATGATGTGCTATGGCATGGAATATCCCTTTAGCCAGTTTGGGTCAGGTGTCCTGGCTCTGCTTCTTCCTGGCTTCTTGCGCCCTTCATCACTGGCAGAGCATGAGAGACTGAAAAGTCCTTGATTGGAGTAAGCATCACTGAGCAGCAACTAAAACATTGGTGTTGTCAGTGTTCTCAGGGTAAAACAAAACACAGCCCTGCACCAGTTACTAAGGAGGAGAAAAACAACTGTTACAGCTGAACGCAGGACAGCCCCTGAGGCACTCGGGGTTTTCACAGGGCTGGTACAAGCCTCTCCTAGAGGCCTGGTGTGGATGATGCCCAGGATGGGACCACCTTCTGTCCTGCTTCTCCTCAGCACAGTGGTGGGCGTCCCCACTACCTTCAGGAAGGAATGGGATGCTCAGCGCCAGGCCTGGAGCGCAGCTTTGCCGGTACCTGGGCAGGCTGTGCTGGTGCTAGAGCTCCGTTGAATGTCCTCCATCCTGAGGGCTGCCCCTTTCCGCAGCATCCGGCACACGGAACGACACGTATGGGCACTTCTTCACGTTGAGGCACACGAGCTTCTTGAGCGATGCTGTCTTCACTATGTCAAAGCCAGTTGCTCCACCAAAGGTACTGGGTTTCCAGTACTCTGGGGAGCAGATGGGGTTTCCAAGAAGCCCCTTCAGGGAGAATGGAGCTCCGATCTCCACCATGCTTTCCCCAAAGATTCCATTGGGTTGGGGTTTCTCAAGCAGCAAGCCCGGATAGAACTCCAGAGCGTCAATGTCTCCATACAGCTCTTGCAGTTCTGCCGCTTTCTCTTCCTCTCCTGCACCAAGCAAACGTCAGAGTGCTTTAGAAAGGGAAACAGCCCAGGCAAGGCCTGGCCTTGCTGTGGATAACGGGAACGTGGCAGCTCCCACAACCCAGCCAGCTTGCAGAGGAGCAGCTCATGGTCTTATACCCCAGCGTGGGCACAGAGCATCTGCACTGCCCCAGTGAACCCCAAGAGCTCCCACAGCAGCACTGCAGCCCTACCTGTGAGCTCCTGAAAGGACTTGTAGGGCTTCATGCCAAACCTCTTCCGATACTCATTAAACGGCTGGAGCCTGAGCTGCCGGGATTCCTTGATGACCCCAATGGCCACTTTCAAGACATTGGCGTGGATGGTTTGTCCCCCACCGATCTGGAGGGTGAGAACACAAGGAGGAACACGTGAGGCACAAGAGGCACCAGCATCCATTCCAGAGCTACTGCACTGAAGCATCCATGTCCTGGGCACAGTGTCATGGAGAGCAGCACAGCAGCAAGAAGAGGGGGAATCACTGCACAGTGCCAGGGAACAGCTATAGAGCAGCTTGGGCTTATCAGTTCCCAGGGCAGGTCAGAGAATGGTGCAGGAGAAGCCCTGGGTGGATGGTGATCCAATGGCCTGGGTGAAGGGGAGAGATGATGGGTTTGGGAGAACCCAAACACACAACAGCCAGTCTGCACTTTGCACAAGCAAAGAGGGTCAGGAATGGAGATGCAGTCACTTGGAGGAAAGCATCCATGTGATGGCAGCAAAGAACAGTGCTGCTCCCATGCCCAGGCTGCTCCACAGCCCGGTCTGGGCTAGAGGATCCCAGCTTACCGCAGGCTCCTGAGAGCAAACCAAAGGGGCTGCCAAAGCCCAGCCTTGCTATGGTGCTCATGGCCTGCCCATCAAGTGCCTCCCTGAGTAGAAGGCTTTATGTGTAAGATAGGACCCACTGCTGAATGGGAACAGGGATGTTCCCAGGGTTCCACAGCCCCGGCACTGGCAGGGAGGGCAGAGAAGACCTTACCCTTCCCGCAATCTGCTTGGAGAAAGACTCCACCAGTGCCTCGACGCCATAGTCCATGAGCATGGAGGTGTTGTAGAGGAACTGCTCATAGCTGTACTCTTCCCCCTGGATGACGAAGGAGTCGGGCATCAGCCCGTGCCAGTGATAGAGCTGGTTGAATTCCACCGCGATGCGATTCCGGTACTGGAACTGTGTCCCGAACAGCAGCTCGGGGTCAAACTTGAGGCTCAGGTAGTACCCGCTGAGGTGCTGGACGTAGTCTTCAATGATGATCTTAATGGTCTCCCCTGGTTAAGAGGCAGGAGAAGCGGCTGTCAGCAGCAGGAGATACCAGCTCTGTACCCCGAGACATTACCCACATGCTATGGAAGCACCTCCCAGCGCTCATCCCCCCGGGACCTTTCTGACTATGGGCTTGTTTTGCTGGTTGGGAATTTGTCAGTGAATCACTTTATAAGCAGCAAAGGTCAGTCTGCCAAAACCGAAATGGTTCCTGAGGAAGCTGACCTCGACACGCTGCTTGCAGATGAGGTGGTGACAGGGATTTGTCTGGAGTTTGGTCAAGAATGACTTTCCGTGAGATTACAGTACATTCATAATGAACATTAAAATGCAAAAATTCAAAATTGCGACAAAATTACTCAAAATCAATATTTTTGATGGCTCAAAGCCCATGTTTGCTCTATGGACCAAAGCCAGCGATCCTCGGAAGGCTGCCAAAGAAACTCCTGCCGCTAAAGCCAGTCTGGCCACTACCTTCAGAGACCAAACAATGCTCAAGTCCTTGGGCTTGCCCAGTGTCCTGGGTTCAGCTGTAGCAGTCATTTTTCTCCTCCTTAGTAGCTGGTGCAGTGCTGTGTTTTCAACTTTAGCCTGAGAACATCATCACTATTACTGGGGGCAGCAGCAGTGGTTTGTGTTACACCTCAGTTACCGGACTGTTATCTCAGCCCATGGGGTTTACATTCTTTCCATTCTCCTCCCCATCCCTCCGGGAGCAGGGAGGGAAGAAGGAAGGGGAGTGAGCGAGCGGCTGCATGGTTCTGAGTTACCGGCTGGGCTCAGACCACGACACCCAGGGAGATGGGCACAGGGCTCTGTGCTGCCTGTGCCCCGCGGCTCCGCTGGTCCTCACCGATGAGGATGAGCCGAGCCGTCTGGAAGAGCTGCTCGTCGCTCCAGGTGGGATGCTCCCGTTTCAGCACGTCACAGACACGGTTGTGCTCGCGCAGCCAGAGCGTGGCGTACATGCAGAGCCCCGGCAGCAGCCCGAACACCTCCTGCCCTATCGCCAGCTGCTTCTCCTTGGGGGTGGCAGGCGGGTAGACCATGTGGACCGGGGCATCGGTGACCGTGGGGGGGTACACTTCTCCATCCACCACCTTGAGGACAAGAACAGGATGACAGAGAGGAGGGGAGAAAACCACCTCGGTGAAAGCCTGTCCAGCCAGGCCCTACAGGTACCAGGGCTGCTTTCCTGCAAGCAGTGAGTGAAACAGAAACACCTCCCTTATACAGCCCCAACTGCGGAATGCCTGCTGCCGTCAGAACAGCTACACCCCAATGCTTGTCCCTCTGATAAGGCATCTTTGGCTGGCAGCCACAAGGGGCTGGGGTTTCCCTGGAGCTGCCTGAGGGATGTGGCTTGAAACAGCTCTGGATCACAGGGCTGAGACATGTTTGCCTGTGCTGGCTACCTGGAACTTCAGCTTCCCATCCTTGAAGAGTCGCAGCTGGTGCTGCCGCTGCAAGTTGTCCCCATACAAGTGCCCGAGGTCCACCTGCCAAGAGAGCATGGCATCAATGCTGCTCCAAAGGCCATGCATGCCCTGGTCCCCTCCTCACTGCTGCATGCCCCACGCCCCCAGGCATTCCGGCATCCCTCACCCCATGCCCCAGCGCCTTGGTGAAGCCGCGTCCCATCTTCCCGGATGTCTTGAAGAACTGGTGGGTGAAATGCTGGGCGAAGAAGGCAAACATCAGGTTGGTGCCCTGGGGATCAGCTTCGAACTTCCTCCGCAGCAGGAACCTCTCTGCCAGGAGCTGGGGGTCAGGGAGCTGCTGCTTCCCTGCAAAGGATGGAGGTTGAGGGCAGATGCCCTGCGCCAGCCCAGCTGGGTACCAGTGCTGGCCATGGGGCTGTTGATATTGCTGTGCTGAGTCTGCTGCAGCACCAGGCAGCGATGCCTCTGCACAGACTTCTCACAGCCCTCTTACACAGGCTGTGACATGCCCCAGCAGCTCTTTGGATACCATCAGGCAACTCCTGCCTGCAGGCCAGCATGGGCAGAGCAGAGGAAGCAGTGCCCTGTAGGTGTATCCATAGCAGTGAAAGCTTGGCATGGGTGGATGGGAAACACCGATGCTGCGCCAGGTATGGACCCAGGGTGCTATTCCAGCGACTCAGCCCCACTGGTGCTGCGCCAGCCACGTACCTTTGGTCCCCATGGGCTTTGGGCAGTCATCCGGCACGGGCGGGAGGATGCGGGTGTAGTAGCTGACGTTGGCATAGGCTTCCCAGCTGATGTAGCCATAGTCAGAGTTAAAGGTGGGGGGACTGGGGATGAGATTGGCACGAACTGAAAAGAGAGGGGGAGTCACGTACGGCAGCATCCCATGGGCTCTGTCCCCAGCCCCTGCTCACAGCCCAGTGCTTCCAGACACCCACCCCTTACACCCCGTAAAGGTACCAGCAGCAGAGGCATGGGGGCATCCCAGGCTTTGCTCCGAGCCTTTTAAAGGCTGCAGTTCCCTGCAGAGGAGGAAGGCTTGTACTAACGCACTAAGTGGATTCTTGGATGATGAATGAGATGACAACCACATAGAAATGGTAAAGCCAACAGCCGGAGCCTTGTGAATGTTGCTGCAGCTCCAAGAGCTGGAACCTAAATATTTATGAATGCGGGGACATGAATAACAAGGGCCATATTTCCTCAGTCTGCTTTCCGTGCGGCTGCTTGAGAGCCCTTTGGCCCCAGGAGCATGGCGTGCCAAGAGCTGCTCGTGTTTTCCAGCAGGCTGGAAGTCTGGTGTGGATGGGGACACACGGACAGCCCAGCCTGCAGACCCCCTGCACCCCATGGGAAGGGTGATGCTGTGACAGGGGCATGGAGTGATGGGGGACAAGCTCCCTGGGTCTCGCAGTGAGGTGACTCAAGCCTGGTAGCCACGGTGTCCCTGGGAGGCACTCAGCATCAGTGCCACCCCTACCCACACCTCTGCTGATGCCCAAGGGTCCCCAAGTCCTGCTGCACTCCAAGACCTGCTCCAACCCCTCACCTGTGAGCACGAGCCTCATGAGCGTGTCCCTGATGCAGGTGCTGTTGATGATGTCCCACAGCCACTTGAAGTGGGTCAGGATGAAGTGGTAGAAGGCAGGACTGGGCTTCAGCAGGTTGTGGAGGCGTGTCCAGAGCTCGGCTGGGGGGCACAGACCAGGCAGATCACTCACCCCAGTAATGATGCCGCTGACGGCCCCATGGGGTGCCAGGGGGTCCTCTGGGCAAGAGGGACTTACGGGAGGTGCAGTTGTCCCCAGAGTATCCCGTCCGTGTGCAGTCACACTCGTATCCTCCCAGGCCGACCCTCACACACACCCCTTGGTGCTGGCAGGGGAAGTAGCAGCAGGGATTCACTGCAGGCAGAGAAAGGCATCACCATCCAGCCGCAGCATCACTGCACCCAGCAGCTCCCTGCTCCTCATGGGGGGACACAGCCAAGGTGGGTCCTGCTCAGGGGGATGCATCCCTGGGAGGTCCCCTGCAGTGAGGTGCTTTGATACCAGCCACATGCATGAGCGCAGCCCCAAGGCTGGTGTCAACAACGTGCTGCAGGAGCCGAGCGCTGCCCTGACAACTGCAGTATCAGCAGATGTTACTGCTCAGCTTTTCTCCCACCTCCCTGGCGAGGTGTTTTGGGCAGGAGCATCGCTTCAGCACTGCCCCTTCTTCCCTGTGGAGGTTGGCCTTGTCTGAAACACCCAGGATTGCCAAAGGAGCCATCTGCACCCCACAGCCCCACACCAATGGGTGCTGCAAGCACTGTCCCCCCCCGTTGCTGTTGCTGCCAGGGCCCTGTCCTGCCCGGTGCCACCACAGGGCCATGTCATGGTTATGTCCTGCCCCCGTGCACAGGGGCTGCTGTGCCCCAGAGCCCCAGTGCAGGACCCAGCAGCACAAACACAGCTCTGGTGTTAAGAATAACAGCGATTGTGAGGGCTGGAGTTTGCTTTGGCAAACGTCTCCTCCTTCCTTGCCGCTCCAACCGGATGGAAAGGGCCGACCGCTGCGCCCGGTCCCCAGCTCCCACCCAGCCCCTTCCTCTGCCACCTCCGTGCCCCAGCCTGCAGGCATGAGATAAGGGCCCCTTCCTGCGGGCCCCACGGCGGCAGGATCCTGTGGGACAGAGGGAGAACCCCCCGACATAAAGAAGCTCCCAGCTCTGGGGCAGTGCAAGGCTCCCACCCACACCAAGCCCCTCTGATCCATCCTGGGGCAACAAAACTCAGGGGAGAAAGAGAACCAAGAGCTGGGGTGGCTGGAGATGCCCCTGCCTTTCATCAGCCCAGGGACTGCTGGAAATGCAGGTGTCCTCCGCACTGCTGCCTCCCGAAACCATCCTCAGCATCACCAGGCTGGGTCAGTCCCTGCAGAGCCGGGGCAGAGCCTGTGAACCAGGAGAATGAAAGTGCCAAGAGACAAAACCTCCTGGAGCAGCCTTGGCTGAGGGGTTTGGTGCCCATCAGCAGGATGGTGGTCACTGGGAAGCACAGCGCTTGGGGACACAGGAACCACCAACACAGTGCTCTGCTCCGGTGCCACCAGCTGCAGGGGCAAGGATGGATGCCGAGAACCATCCCTGGTGTGCTCAGTGTCGCAGCTGATGAAGGAAGATCTCTGGGGTCCATTGGCTTCTCTGCATGATCCATGAGCTCACCAGACCTGGTTCAGATTCTTCAGGAATGTGGGAGCAGGTGCCAAGGCTGGGGCGGAGGGACAGGCACACGGAATAGGAACCACATTTTTTCCATCAGAAATTGCAGCTCAAAATTAGCATCTTCGGAAAACAAAGCTCATTTTGCAGAGCTGCTCCGTGTCCCAGCCAGGGCACAGCAGGGGCTTGGCCAGCAGCTCTGTGATCCCAAACCCCTCGTGTCACAGGGGCCGGCTTGCAAAGACACGTTCAGATCCCAGCCTTCCCATCAGACTCCCTTTCATCTCGGAGCTTATTTATCTCACACAGATTGCGGTCAGACCACCCATTCGGGCTTTTCCAAGATGGGAATTTTCACAACGGGGCCCATGTTTCAGTGCAGCCCCAGTATCCTCTGGGCTATTCCTGCTTCGGAACCTCTGCACTCGGCACCTAGCTCGACATCCCTGTGCCACGCTCAGTGTAACGCAGGGATGCGGGGCTGCCACAGCCACAGTGTTGGGAAGATGCTCCCTGCCGCAGGCTCCGCCACAGCCCCGTTTCCAGCTGACGTATGGAGCCAGGAGAAGTTCACCTTGCACAGCTCTTCTCAGCACGGGGTTCCACAGCACATCGTGGCCAAGCTCTGCTCCGAGCCGGGTTTGGCAGCATGCCGGGCTCAGCCGAGCTGCCTCCTCCCACCCTTCACGGTGGTGTCAGCCCCACAGGGTACCGGAGGTGCGCCGGGAATGGCATGTTCCAGCCAAAAAGGGTGGGAAGGGGCCGGAGCGTGTCCTGGCCCGCGACAGCAACCCCTTCGCATCCTCTCGGAGCCTCCCTCCTGCGGTGCCTTTCCCCACCCCAGCCTGGAATCCCGCACCCGCGCTGTTGGGATGGCTCCAGGTGTGGGAATGCCGCTGCTAGGCTCAGTGCTGGTGGTGGCAAAGCTGGTGAACACGCTCCATCACTGGTGGGAAATGCCAGATTTCAGGACAACATCCGCTCTGCAAACCGCAGCCAGAGCAACCTGGGGTGAATCACGGCCGGGATGGAGCCAGGCTTGCTCAATGGGACCCTGCTCCGTGGCTGCGGTCTTTGAAGATGATGAAAGGATCATGCACTTGTTTTTCTGTCTCCTCGGGCCCAAAAGCTGTTCACAGCAAAGGCAGCGCAGGCAGATTGTCATCTGCAACCACTTCTGGCAGCACCACGAGCAGAAGAGCGCGCCAGGGCCGCAGCTGCGTGCCACGTGGGCCTCAGGGATGCTCCTCCCTGCACCTGAGCCAGGCTGATGGGCATGAGGATGGGCTGCGGGCGAGTGGCTGGTGCTGGTGATGCAGCCCCAGGGCTCTCAGTGCGGCACCAGGCTCCCTTTGCAGCCCTGTTGAAGCTCCACGGGCCCCATGGCAGAGGGGCTGTGCTGGGAGGAGGGCTATAGAAACAGGCATGAATCAGTGCCCCTGCCCTTGGGGTCTGTGCCCAACATGCCCCACGGCTGGAGCTCGGGCTGACGGTGATGTTTGGGTGCTGCCGCACCTCCTGTTTGCCGGTGGGAGCTGTGGGATGGCTGTGGAGAGGAAAATCAGGTTTATTGTGCAAAAGCCCTTGCACAAAGCTACACCCCTGGAGGCGACAGCCGCCAAGAGCAGGGTCTGCAGTAATAAACAGAGGAATCCCAGGAGAACAGCTCGGCTCCGCTCGCAGCAAGCAGCCTGTTGTTTGGGCTTCGAAAGCAGATCCAAGGTCTAGATTAGGGCTGTGGTCCTCCTGGGGCAATGCTGGGGAGGAGCAGGAGCCAGGCTGCTCTGCTGACAGCACCTCGGGGCATTGCACCGTTCCCCTCATTCCTCAATCAGGTATCTGCCTCCCTAATTGGGCTTGGAAGAGCCTTTCATGTGTATCCCAGGAATGTTCTCCTCTTTCCCCACGTAGTGAACTTCACTTTGATCCTGGCACGAAGCAGTCAGCTCCAGGGGCTGGTCGTGGCTGTGTCATTCCAGGGTGCATCTGACCCAGCTGCTTTGGGCATGTGGGACCCCAGTGTGTTCCCAGGCCCTGTCCTGGGCACAGCAGGACACACGGATGCTGCTCCTGGCTGTCCTCAGCCCCTGAGAGGAGCTTCTCAGAGAGATGAAATCTATGCTGGGAGAGGCCATGCCAAGGAAGGAACCACACAGAGGTTGTCCCTTGCTTGTCCCCACCACCTATGGTCCAGTGCAGTGGGTGACAGCTGGATCTATCCCATGGGATCTCTCCTCTTGGGCAGCCATCCCGATGGGCCTCCCCCACATGGCTGCCTGCTGCGTGGCCACAGCCTTGGGGCCTCAAAGCACTGCAAGCCGGGGTTGTGCTCCCCTTTCAGACATGTATGCTCACGTTCTGGGTCTGGGCAGATCAATTCCCACAGCAACAGGTAAACCTGGGCAGAGCCCTGCTGAGGGATGCAGCCCACATACATAGTCTGGTTTGAGCTTCACTCTGGGATGGAGTTTTCCTGCAAGGAGGAAGCTCATTTCATGGAATAAGGACTGCAGTCAATGCTCCATTAAGGAGCTGGAGGAGACTGCACCTGAAGAGCTGGGGATGGAGCTGATGGGATTCAAGAAGGGGTTTATTTTGCCAACACATTCCATGGATTCCTTCCATACACAGCGTTACTCCTTGACACCGGAGGTGCAGGGGGAGCCTGAGCCCACTGTGGTTGTACCAGCGTGCAGTGAGCTGCTGCAGCACGTGGGCAGGGAAGTGAAACCACGGCTGAGGCCACTGGAGCCATCCCTGCTGCTCCCAACCCTCCATCCTCACCCCCAAACTGCAGTTCCTCTGGTGTGTGCAGGGCCCTGGTGGGGATATTCATTCATGGATATTGCCATCCTTTCTTCCAGAAGCCTGATCCCAGATGGGAAGCTGCAGGGAGCAGCGGGTGCCCCTCACCCTGGTGTCAGGGCCACCCCAGCGTGGCTGCGGTCCCCTCCTGCCCCATGGGCAGCGGTGGCCTTGGATGGAGCCCTGCGCTGTGGTGCGGCCGCGGTCACACTCGGGCCATCCGCGGCTCCTGCAGCCGCTGCGTGTGGTCCCCCCCGGCGCAGCGGGGGGTAAAGGGAAGTTTGTTTTCCAGGGCTGGTTTTGCTCCCCAGTCAGGCGCGACGGGACAAAACCTGCAGCTCCGGGTGCCCCCCGCCGCCCCTGCCCGCCCTCCCTGCCCTCCTCTCGGGGGCTCTGCTCGCAGCCCACTGCCCCATCCGGTAGAGACGGGGCAAGAACCGGCCCGGGGCGATGGGCACGATCCGGCCCCGGGGACCCGTCCCAGCTCTGGGGCAAAGGCTCCGACCTCTCCCCGAGCGCCGGGGCAGCAGCGACCGCCCCTGCGGTCCCCTGCGCCTCCGGGGCACCGCGAGGACCAGATCCCTCCGCATCCCCGGGGCTGGCTCCCCCCTCCCTCCCCGGGTCCCCTCGATGCCTGATATCCCCCCTGGTGCGGGCGTCGCCGCTGCCCCGGTGCAGGCTGCCCCGGGGCTGTCTCCTCCTTTCCCTCCTTCCCTCCCTGCCGGTGCTGTCCCCGCCCTCGTACCGGAGCCGTCGGTCGCGGCGCTCCCGCTGGTGCAGAGCAGCACGGCGTGGGCCAGGAGCAGCCGCAGCCCCGCGGCCGGCGGAGCCCGGTCCCGGCGCCCACCGCCCATGGCGAGAGCAGCTCCGCCGCGTCCCGCCGCCGCCCTCGGCCCGGCCCCGCCGCTCCCGTCCCAGACGCGCCTCCTCCCGCCCGCGACGGGACAAGGACGCCTCCGACAGCCCAGAGCGCGCACTGCGGAGCCCCGCGGCCACCCCTGGTCCTGCCCTGAGCCACGCGTGCCCCAGGAGCCCCCTGGCAGCCCCCGGGTCCCTGCAGGTCCTGATCCCCCCCAGCAGCTTCAGACCCACCTTCTGGTCCCCCTGTCCCAGAGGGCTCCCGACGCGGTGCCCACATCCCCCTGGTCCTCACATCCGCAGCATCCTCATGCCCACACCCTGCTCCCCCGAGGATCTCCATGCCCATCCCCTGACCCACAAGCCCCCTGCCTGGATCGCTATGGCCCGGGCACGCTGTTACAGCTCAGGCAGCAGCAGCAGGGCCGTGGGCCATGGGCCTGGCTCAGCTTGCTCTGACCGGCTGCAGGTCGGTGCCAGGAGGCAGGCTGCCCACAGCCACCAACAGCCAGGAAAGCTGAGTTTATCAGTGGAACCATGGCTGGGTGTTCTCTGCCTGGCTACTGACAGCACGGACAGGATCAGCCCAGCCCAGCCCCAGGCACCTGAATCACCAGGGGACTGCACTGAGCCTGAAGAGCCTTCTGCATGCGGCTGGGGTGGCTTGGAGCATGATGGGCTGCAGACCTTGCTGGGACAGCCTCAGGGATGTCCCTGAGCCTGGTGGTACCCAGAGCACGGGGGCTGTGGCTGCTCACCCTCCTCTGCAGCAGCAGCAGAGACCCCGGCACAGGGCTGGGTGTGATTCAAGATTAAATGGGGTTTTGTTGTCACCTCCTTGCAGAGCAGCACCCAGGGCGTGCGCAGCCCCTGTCTGCTTCCTACACTTGGCTGTGAGGTGGGGACAGGACAGGAGTGGGGCTGAGGGAGAGAGACTGTGGGTCTGGGTCTCACGCTGTGGGGCTTTGCTGGCTTTCAGCAGTGGGGAGGGAGCAACCCTGCAGGGTGAGCAGCCCTTGGAGGTGTCCGACAACGAGCCAGGGCCTCAGATCCAGCTTCAGCAGGCAAATGCATCAGCCGTGACGCACGCATGAGCTCAGCAGGCTCCTGATCACTCTGGAAGGGTGGGGACAGTGGCTGCCTCCCAGTGATGAGCGTGTGCTGGGAATGAGGGGCAGGTTTTGGTGCACGTGTGCAGTTGGGGCAGTCAGTGTGTGCCGGGGCCAGGGCTGCTCCTGCCTGCAGGCAGCACCGTCCCGCGGGGCACTGCACATCCAGCCTCTCACCCTGGCCTCTGAGGTGGGGAGAGGCCGAGCTGCCTGGATGGGCACCAAATACAAAGCCAGGGCAGGGTGCTGGTTCAGCACAGAGGATGGGGTTTGGGCGGCTGTTGGGATGGTTTCAGCAGGAGCACTGGGGACGGTGTCAAACACTCACCAAGGCATTGCCCTGTGCCCCCACCTTGTGCCTGTGAGCTCCAGGTCTGTAGGAGTGGAGCAGCACCGGGTTCCTCACCTACTGCTGCCACCTGCCCCACGGCATCCCAGCCCCACAGAGTGGGTTACCCTGCGGGTGAGCATTTTCCTCCCTGTCCCCACAGGCGGCACCACCAACCCCAGCTCTGCCTTTCTCCTCCCACCCCGCAGTTGATGCCCAAGTGCTGTTGACCACAGCACATGGGATCTGTCAGAGCCTGGCACCTCTCACACCCCCTGGGCCAGCCCAGCAGCCTTTAGGGATGTCGCAGCCCCAGCGCTCACTGCCTGCTCCCTTCCCTCCTGTCAGGTTTTAATAATCCCTCTCTCGCTCAATGCAGGAAGCGGCTGCAGTAGCCCAAGGCTGTGGCTGTCGCGCCAGGGCCACCGAGGGTCTGTCCTTAAAGTGCCAGACAAGGGAGGGGGCTGCAGATGGCAGCTGCAGGGTGTGGGGCAGCCCCACTGCTCCTGGCATCTCTCCTGGTACCCAGGCCCGTTCCCCTGTGTGATGTCTGTCTCTGTCTGAGCTGCGACCCGGGGTGCCTGTGCTCATGTCTCAGGATGGGAGCCAGCTCTGGGTACCCACAGGAGGCCCTGGCCCTGGCCTGGTGCTGCCTGGGCATCATGGTGGGGTCACAGCCTCCCTTGGCACGAGCACAGGGCTGGGGCCACACGGGTCACTAAAGGGGAACATCTGGAGGTTTGCCATGGGTTTGGCAGCGTGGGCACTGGGTCTGCCAGCAAACACCCGACATGGCTCTGTAGCAGCAAGAGGAAGCTCCAGTGGGGTACTGCTGAGCCCCATGAGCATCACAACCATGGTCCAGGGGGAAACCAGGCAGGAGGGATCCTTCAGCCTGATGCGCCCACTCGGGAGGGGTGTGGGAATGGGTGGCTGCTGCTCCTCTGGGTGCAGGGCAGCAGTGGGGATGTGGCCTTGCCACGACTCCTGGGAGTGCTCCTCACCAGTGGATGCAGCAGCGGCATGGACAGACGTGTGGCAGAGGCAGCCCGAGGAGGTCGGGCTCTGGCTGGAGGGTTTCAGCCCTGAGCACCCAAAACCTTCCTGGAGGTGACTGGAGCAGTTCCTGATGCCCAAAGGTCCTCCCCTGTCCTGCTGCTGGTCCTCACTGAGCCTCCCGCTGTGGGTCGGGGCATGGGGGGTGAGGAGCTAGGTGCTATCCCAGTCCAGGGCAGCCACCTGGATGTAAAGGGAAGCCTCAGCCTCCCCCCATGGCCTAAAGCCAACTGAAGCCCCCCCAGGGCCAGCACCTCTACAGTGGCCCTAAGGAGCTGCCCCACCAGATTGAAACCCCTGATGGCTCCTTCCATAGAGTTCTGTGAAGTTTCTTTTGAGGTGCCTTTTGAGTGTGTTCCATAGGGTGCTTACAGTGGATGCTTACAGTGCTTAGTGCAGTTGGTACAGACAGTTGTAACTATGTACAGGTCACTTTCTTCCCCAGCTTCAAAGTGTTCTCCAGGCTCCCTGGGACAGGTCTGTTCTCCAGCTCCTGCTTTAAATCTGGGTATTTTTTCTGAGGTCATGATTTTGGACTCCGATCTTGACCCGAAGTCCCTTCTCCAGCTGCATTTCTGTGGGTCAGGGTCAGTGTTTCTTCCCATCGCAGCCAGAGTGGTCTCACTGCTTTGGAGAAGAAGCACTGTCTCACACCACGCTCTCAGCTCTTGGCCAACCCCATGCTGGTCTCATGATGCTCTTCCCCTTTTCACAGCAGCAGCTGTGGGCATCAGGGCTGTGGCTTCACCCTTTGTCTTCCCGCAGCTTCCCTCCTCTTTCCGGAGGCATCACTGGGGTTTTGCTTCCTTTTCTTCCCCCCTTGGTGCAAGGGGGATGTGGCTGTAGCCCCACTCCAGCTATGGCCGTCCTGGGCTGTTGGTCCTGCCCCGGGGATGTGCTGATGCTGCACCTCCGTCTCTGCCGCCTCTGTCTTGCTCCAGTTTACATCAGGATGGAGAAGGCGTTGTGGGAGATACAGTGATGAGAGGTCATTGCCGTGTCCCCATCCCATGGCGTGTCCCTGTGTCCATATGTCCATGCCGGGGGCAGGAGCCGGCGGGGCTAAGGGAGCCGGTGGTGCCGGCCGCGTCCTCCCGTAGGGAGGCAGCAAAACACCGTCTATGGCAGCGCCGCGTCGGCCGGGGCTGCGGAGGCACCGGGAGGCACCGGGAGGCACTGGGAAAGCGCTGATGGTCCTGAGCTGCTCTGCACTGGGCCGCCCCACAGCTCCGCTCTGCCCCCCAGGACCCTTTTCCCCCCGGCTCTGGGGTGATGCCTCGCAACGGCGCCAGAGCAGGACACTGGGACCCAAGAGCCTGCAGTGGTTCAGCACCCAAAACTCCTTCCCCCGTCTTCCCAGGGGGGCTGGAGCTGTGGGGGCACCCTGTGCTGTGACCCCACAGCCATGGGGTGAGGTGGCAGCCGTCGAGGGGAGCTTTGGGGCAGCGGGACAGGGGCACCCCCATGGCTCCCAGTCCAGGAGTGTGAACCCCTGATCCCGGGGCATCTGCATGGCTCACGGAGCATCCCCTGGCATGACCCATCCTTTGCATCCCTGAGAGGCTCCTTGGGTGGGATGTAGCTCAGCGTGTGTACACTTGACTGTCGGCTGCAGGGGCTGGGCAGAGAACAGAGAAGCCAAAACCCCTGTTTTTCTACCTTAAGGTTCTGAGATGACCGGTGGGGAAGGTCCCTGAGAACCACAGGAGGTTCAATCCACACAACGGCCCAGAGACCCCACATAGAGCATCGCACTGATCTGGTCACCCTGTGCTGGGCTCAGGGGTGCTCTGGGGGTACAGGGCCAAGCAGGGCAGCATTGGTGCAGCCCAGGGAGCAAATCTCTCCCTGATGGCCCCTTGCCCAGCTCCACGGCAGCAGAGGACCCGCGTTCCCTCCAGCACGCGGGGCTGACAGGCGCTGTTTGAGGGGCTACAAATCAGAGCTGAAAAGCCGGGGCTGGACAGGCTGTCTGGGAACAGGTAACCTGAGCCCCAGGAAAGGAGGACTCAGGAAGGCGCTTTTCAGCAATCATATTCATCATCTTCAGCTCAGACTCATTAGGCTCGGGAGCCCGGCCCCCGCCACCGCCAACGCCTCCCGCACGCAGATAGAGCCCCTGGCTCAGACAAATAAATGCTTCCAGCTTCCCGGTGGATGCAGCAGGTCAGGGAGCATCTGATGCCAATTACACACGGTGTAGGGTTCCCTGCCCGCGCTCGCCAGCACCGTGCACTGAGGCGGCTCCCGCGCTCCGACCTTCCGATGGCCCCATGGATCACCCTCTGCTCCCTCTGTGCCAGGTGCCATGGGGGCAGACAAGGGGGAGAGCAGCCCTGTGCCACCCATGGTTTGAGCTCCTTCATGCTGGGGTCAGGGACCAGCACAGGGATCTCCCACCTGAGCGGCTCAGGGGATGCTTGAGGGCAGCCTCACTGCATGGCTGTTCCCACCATGGGGGGTTGTGCACAGCACTGAGCATCAGCGTGTCACTGTGTCCCCATCACATGTGCTCACAGCACAGTGCAGCAAGAACCCCTCCTTCCTGCTCCCTGATGTAGGACTAAGGGTGGGAAGCTGCCCTGACT